ATCTGCAGGCTACATTTCTGTTGTTTGCAGCTTTGAGTTTAACGTTAACCAGCTGTGAAGCTTCGAGAGTTCTTAGCGTGCACATCTCAACTAGCGTTTTAAAATGATGTATCGATAGCACATATTTAGATGCCAGCTATTTATCAGTAGAAACTCAGAAGAGAATATAGAAATACATATTTTTAAATAGCACATTTCTTCCTCACACACAGAATCCTCCTTTAACAGTAACCAGCTCATTATTTTTCTGTTATTCGTTGTTGCTGTGAAAATATTAACGAGAAAAAAGAAAATGCAGAAAATAAAAAGACATATTTAAAAATGGAGCTTATTTTGATTTTGATGCCATCATGTTTGGAAACAGAGAAATCTCCCAGAGTCTCTGATGGATAAAGATGAATGAAACGTCTGATTTTAGGATTAATTCAGTTATTTTTAGCCACCAATGAAATAGTCAGATTTCAGTGAGATCTTTGTGCAAAAGAAATATGAGTCTGATACAAAAGTTAGCATGCTTGATATCAATACATGATTAACAAAATAAGCAATAAATGATTTATGATCTCGTTATTTATGCAGAATGAAATATCTAATAATTTAATTTTAATATTTATATTTTTCTATCAATAATAGAATAGAATAAATGGAATAGAAAATCTCTTTATTGTCCCTCAGTGTGGAAATGTTGATGTCACGGTAGTAGTTACGTTCACAACAGGAGCAAAGAAGAGTAAACAACCAACAAAACATACAAGCAAGAAATAATTCAAAGATATGATGGAATTTACTGAAATAAAAACTAAAAAAAATATAATACTTTACAAAAAGACAAGCAGAATTTTATAGGGAGAGGGAACATGAACAAAGACGTCCATGTGTCTGCTAATCTATGGTGACATTTTTCCAACAGAAACCTATTTTATTTAAATTTGTAGCTGAAATGTATCTATGTTATTTTCTATGATGATGCCAGCAAGATTATGATGAAAATATCAGAGATAATTATACTATTGATCTTCTCCCTTCACACACACACACACACACACACACACACACACACACACACACACACACACACACACACACACACACACACACACACACACACACACACACACTTTTGGGATAGAACACAGAGCCAGAACTCTCCCTGGTTTAAAAGCAAATCTGGCATCAAACTCAAATAAGCTCTATTGTTTAAAAGTGTTTGTTGATGTCTCCAAGGGTTAAATGATTAAATTACAGCACCAACGTTTCGGGACCAACGCTTAACTCTTCACTGTGTCTGGTTAACTGTAATGAGCACAAAACAACAAATGTCTAGAAGTGACATGCATCGTCCATTTTATCACTTGTATTTTGATGTAAAACCACATCTTATTGAATTATCATTATAATCTGAATTCTATCTGGGTTAAATCTTGTTTAAATTCTTCATGATGAATTTGTCTGATGCTGCATGTTACCCTTAAAGCTGCCTCTTTGTGGCACAAAGTGATTCCTTATTTTTTTGTTGCTGTTTCTCAAAATGATTTTAAAAGTTTTTCATTTTTGGCATAAAAATTCAAACGTGAACGAGAGTGAGGGGATTAGTTAGAGGACTGGAGTTGAAGGGGTCTCCATCGAGGGTGCTTGTGATGTGAGGAAGAGGTGAGAAGGACGCACCACCCGGTCGTCTGTTCCTTTCATTTCCTGTTGAATCAGTCACTCGTTTGAGGTTATTGTAGGGCAGTTTGGATGAGCTTCACATCTGAACAACACGTGCAATATGTAATTATTCTTCTCTCCTCATCTAATGTAGTGCCCTCTGCCTTTTGTCTTTCTCCATATGCCTGTTTTCTTTCCAGTGCCTGTAGGACTCAGATCCCAGAATGGTGTTTTATCAGCAGCACTGACAGAATAATAATATCTGACCCAAAGAAAAGCCTGAGAAAGTGTGTAAACAGCCCTTAAAATGCAGCGTGTGTCCAAACAGACCTGGACTTGGACCAGGGAATGAAGCTTCCTCTGGGTTTCTTATTGATTCAATGATCTCACAATGAAATTAGCTGCCTTTGCATCCGGACCACCCACAGGAGGAGGTTTGCAGGTGAACCTCCCACATAAACAACTGTTTTTCTTCTGATTTGTATTTTTAATCCTTTGTTTTCATATTTTTAAGACGGATTTTAGTGGGCTGTGATTTCATCATGGCCGTCGGCTTCAGGCATGCTGGACACACTCAGCAGACGTCTCTGGCAATCAGAAAAAAACTTGAACCTAAACACTAGAGAAATATACATATATAAATATATCTAAGTGAGATGTTTGCGTATAATTGTGAAAAAGGTGACATATAAATATCTAGACCTAGAACAAATTGTAAACTGTAAAAATCTCATCATCTCTTCTGATTTATATATTAGTGATCATTTTGTACAGATTTGTTTTTCTTTTTTAACTCATTGAGAGATATTACATTTCACACGGAGATAATTTATTCATATGCAGAACATTTTTGTATTCTTTAAAATATCTGTATAGATAGGCTCTGTAATATACTTTGGAGTTAATTTTTAAATTCTAGAGGTTTTTCTTTACAAACACGGAGTTTGAGTTGATGTATTTATGACGACTGAAAGGTTTGGCCCTGAAAACGCTCGTCTGGTGATGACCCTGGACTTGTGCCTGTTTGTAGATGCTTATTTTGCTGTAGTCATTTTATTTTCTGTGTTGATTTTTGAATTATCTTCACTCTATTCCGCCATCGTGTATTTGTGAGTTGGGTGGTATTGGTGGCTGGAGCTGATCAGAAACACAGATCATGTCAAATGAGCCCATTTGCTGCTTTGACTCACCTGGCTTTAATTTTCCACGGTGTCGGGTTTGCATGTGAACAAAGATGGCGGGAATGTCTGAGGTTTCCCGAGACAACAGGTGGATGTACATTTTGTTGCTTTAAAAGTCTTCAATGCCGCCAAGATGGATAATTAAGGGATGAACTTACAATTTCATCGTCACGTTTGCCACATTTGTCTTTAAGTCGACCTACATTCTGTAGTATGTAAATGAGATTTTTACATGAGTGTGTGGATGTTCAAAAAAGAAACTTGGCATCTAAAAACAGAAAAATGAAATTGTAAATAGGACGACTCATTCCTACCAAGTTCAACAAATTGTTCTATCTAAAAGATGTTTTATTATTAAATATGACAATGGGTACCAAGGTATATACAAAACATTGCATGTATAGTCTCGAGCAAACGCACGGTGCAGTTTAGATAAAATGTTACCTACATGTTTTTCAGATGTGAGACAGAAATAGAGGTGCAGAAGTGTTTACAAACAGGACGGATGCTTTATTTTCTCTGTGACACGGGCATGTTCAGTCTTACTGTGAAGTGGTGTGATGATGACGATGATAGTGGCTGATAGTGTTGAACGCATCCCCACCACAGAGGTCAGCAGTGAAGGTGTACTCTCACCCAGAGTGCTTCTCCCATATGTAGAGTAGTGTGATATAAGAACAGAAATAATAAATAAAATAGATCACTTATATTAAATATATCAGTTTAAAAGCCTAATGATTCTGGAGATACAAATTTATCAGTGTGGATGCCATGGTATTCTGTGAGACGTGTGTTTTGTTTTGTTTTTTTCTTTGAGAAGACAGCAGGTACTTGGACCTGCCTTCTTTTGTACATAACTTGCTGTGATTGTGTGTCCAATAAAGTGCAGCTCTCTTGTATAGTCTGATCTGGTTTTATCTTCTCTCATTGTGTACGTATGTGTACCACTCAAATGGGCCACACAAATGCAAAGTAGATGCTCAAAGAGACAAAATGAAGATTTTACTGTTAATAAATATACATCAAAATGTTGCTGAAAATGAATCAAATGATGCCCAGTTGTTGAAAAATGTTGACGGCCTTGCAACAACTTTAAAAAATCGGGTCTAAAATACGTGGGAGCAGGTTTAATGGACCATTCCCATCTGTACCGGGCCAGGTAGCCCCAGTCGGTCCCAGCCTGGCCCGATTGATTACACACATCCTTGTGGGCTGATTCTACCCACCAATCAGAGGCTTGCTCTAATGGAAGGTGTGAATTTGCTGTCAGCAGTGGGTGTGTTGGCCCTGGTCTGCCTGAAGCAGACCCCCTCGAGAAGAGGGCTGAGAATGAGCCTTGGTTGGCCTGGAAAAATACCAGGCCACCCAGATATGTAAACAATCTACGCTACCCGGCCCGGGCCGACCCGGTACAGATGGGAATGGCCCATGAGTCCAGGGTTCGAATTACGGCGAAGCTAAGGGGAGCCCGGCCCATCCAAAAGGCTCCCCTGGAAGCCCCTCAAATCAGGGAGCCCGAAAAAAGATCCTGGTTCTATCTACATTACATTACATTATTTATGTGGATTAGATTATTTTAAGCGGAGAGGGTGTAGAGCACTTTCACAAAACAATGCTGTCAATTTGCTGCAACGCCGGCCGTTGCGGCATCAGCCTTGGGTTGTTTATAAATGGTCAGACCGTGGCAGTAATGTGGTGCAATCGTGTCCTTTTTACAAAAAGATGGCGGCATAAAGGGGATATGGGGGCGGACCCTGTGCTGCAGTGCTCCAGTTTGCCGTCTGAGCTGATTTTGCTCAACAAGCAACACACATGGCTCGTGTTTACTTTCATTTTCAAACGTTGGAGGCATTAACTCCGCACGTGATCACGACACCTCCCTCTGTTGCGCCAAGGCGTAATCCCCGTTTATGAGACAATTACCGCAATATTACTACCAAGCGAGATGGAACAAATGCCGTAAAATTTGTGCATCGCCATACCAGCATGGCACATTTATAAGACACACCGTTGCGGTAATATCACGCTGATTTACTGGCACAGTGTGTCTTGTAAGAAGGGCTTAACATTCTCAAAGTGGTGCCACCAAAAATATATATAATTAACATGCGATCGTTTATGTCTGCTCCATATCCTCTGGCACTTTCTGCCTTTTATTTATCCCTGATGCAGCGGAGTGAGTAGAGCACATCACCCATGCTCTGGTGATTTCACCTCACTGGCGCGGCTGCTCAGTGCGCACTTCACTATTTATGCAGTCTGTATCTTTTTAAACATGCCTTAAAAAATATAGGGTGAAAATACAGGAAGCCTTTTCTGTAGGATGGAGAAGAGATGACACAGATAAGCATGTAATATTTGATACAATTCAGATCACCTTCAAAACTGCACTACGGGCATTTTGGGGGCAAAGGCAAGATACACCCCCCCCCCCCCCCCCCCCACCCCCCCGGTCTCATTGGCTCCTCCGAAAGCTTCTGTGTAAGTCATACCCTGTCTAACTCTCTGGACAATGCTATATTAGAAACCATGTTTCCGTCTACAGGAGCTTGTGAGGACAAAACCCATTTACTGATTTGTAACAGGCAGCAAAAAAACTTTCACCATTTAAAAATGTTGTTGTTTTACACATTTACCTCTTCGCTTGTTGCCAGAGATGAAAGGGAGTCTGATGTTCTTGTCATTTTGCTGGAGGTTGTGCTCCCAGGGATTTTTGACCCTAATGGCCATCCATTGGTAAGCTCTTACTCAAACACATAAATACTGCTTGCCTGCAATTATTTAGGTACGTACTGCCCCCTATCGCCAGGGAAAATACACACCGTCGCTTTAAAAATAAACTTACTTTGTTAGAAAAAGTCATATATTTCATTAGTTTTAGGCCAAACAGTCACAAGTTTAGATCATACATAATCACTGATGTTACACAGTTATGATAATGTTCAAATCAAAGTTACTGAACTGTTTAAAAATACTTCCAGTTTTTATATACAGAGTAAAATCTTACTAAAATGTTGCTAATACACATCACCACGTGGCTTACTACAGGTTTGTTACATTATTTATATACATCATACCTTAATTTTTTTTTTTTTTCGTTTTAATTAAGAAAATCTGCCAAAACGGACTCAGGAATCCTGGCGCTGAGCTGGCCGTCGTCCGTCCGTCCGTCTGTAAGGTGTGTTCCTCAGATCTGAGGGGGAAAACGACCACAAATTCCAACTCGAACAACTGAATTTTACCCTCCTTCAGAAAATTCTAGAACATCACATCACATTACTGTACCTGTGATGATGTCCTCCAAAGCCCCGTCTTTCCCTTCGCGAACCGGAGGTTTCACCTGCCTCTTCTTTAGCTCCGCTATCAAATCCATCTTAGGCATCATGGGGCCCTTAAAATATAATTTATCAAATGCTTACCCAACTAAAAAACACATTTTGTCAAGCTTGTTCAGAAAATCAGACATGTGGTACAGCATGATAGTCAAAATAAAAACAGAGTTAAACAAAATAAATTAAAATATAAAATCCCCTCAGGCAGGTATAAAAAACAAAAGTAATCCCACTTGATCTGTTTTCAACAGTATGCCCGTTGTTGCAACCGTAGGCTGTACAAAAACAGGTATAGGTGCCCCCTCTTTGCATTGAGTTTGGAGAGTGAGGACACCCATCCAATATGGTGGCAATGCTGTTACACTCTAGAGCGCCCAGCGGGGCGTCTACATATTCATGTCTATGGCTAAAACAACAGCAGTCTTCCTCGTCACGAGCCCAGATGGATGAGTCCATGACTGTAAATTTTACAGCGTGACGTGCAGTTTACTGGCTTTTCTTACCTGAGCATTTCCCCGCCTATTTTCTGAAGCTAATGCAGGAAATAGGAGTAGAAGACTATTTTCATGTTCAGCCAGCATGTTAAACTCAGTCATCGATCATATATCAAATGGTTTCTCTGGCGTTTAAAGGTAAATTTATACTTTATTTCTTCTGTGAGATGTTTTGTACTACTACAAACGTACCTTTTGTGCTCCAGCTTTGTTTGGAGATGGTGTTTCCTTCACCTCACAACTCTGAATTTCCTCCATTTTCTTTTTCTGTTCAATCTCTTGCAGTGCCATCTGCAGACAGTAGCGGTGCGTCAGTGCCTATAATGCATCGTCTTAAAAATGAAAAACACTCTTACCTTGTATGCCTTCACAAAGCGCCCAAACATAGGGAAGAACATAGAGGGCTGAGTGGTTTTTGGGTTCTCCCCAAAATACTCCACAACAGAGACGTAAGCTTCCTAGAGGGAGAACAGGAATGTGTAAGCGTCCGATCGAGATATTTTAGAGTTTTGCGAGTGTTTTGAAAAGAATGGGAAAACCAGCCTGTGCTGTCTTGCTGTCTTTGATCAGTGAGTCCAGCTGCTCGCTGTTGGTTTTGATGAATTCCTTTAACACAGGACTGTCGTCCTGTACCAGGAACTCCTTCTTGGTCATCTCCATTCCGCGCTCTAATGAGCGGATATCTTGCAGAATGCCATCCAGGGAAACTAGCAAAGAAACAAGAAGGAATTCAAACACATTTTCATCAAGAAGCCATGAGTGGAGAACTGGCATGTGCACATGTACCAAGAGCTGCCTTGTCTACAAAGTGAAGGTCTGTGTGGAAGTTGGCCAGCTCAGGGTACTTTTCCAGGATGATGCTGGTCATGAAGTGAAGTAGCGTTTGGGAGCGGTCTGTGGATTTCGTCTCCAGTAGCTAAAATAAAATGCAAAATTAATACAGTCACAAAACTATTCAGATTTTGTTGCGAGTACATCCATTTTTCTTCCAATTCATGTTTGGGTCATGGAGGTGTCAGGTCCAGGAGAGTGACCCAGACATCCTTTTCCCTGGCAAGACTCTTTTAAAGACCAAGTTCACTTGTTTTTTTCATTACATTTGCTGTCATCTCCAGTATGAATAAATGCCCTTCGAATCAATCCCAGTGAGGAAAAAAGCTCTGGCGCTCCCGTTTCAGGAAGTGGAAGTTAGTTGGAGGAGTGGGGACCAAAACAATGTCAAGATTTGGAGTCTTATTATATTTCCTGAAATTTGGATATCTTCCTTCTGATTGGCTAAAAGCAACGTGGCTCTTCCACTAACTCTGTTAGCTTTGTATTGTTGACGTCTTATCTTCACAAATAACACAAGCGTGAAGGAGTTCTGCCATGTTGTAGAGCTGCTAATGCTAACGGTTAGCGAGATGTGCTCGGTTCTCCCCTAGATGCTAATCCAATAACAGCCTTCCCCGGAGCGTGCTGTGATGGGTGAGCCCATCATTGCAAATTTACAGTGTGACAAAGATCTGTCAGACATTTCTGACCTAAGATTTTTGCTGTCTATTTTCTATCGATGACTAATGCAGGAAACAGGAGTAGAAGACTATTCAGCCTGCATGTGAAACTCAGAGTGACTGAATAAATTTTTAAAATACCTACTAAAAACTGCTTCTCAGTGAACCTGCTCTTCAATGTCCCTAAAGAGATCCAGTGGCCCTGCAAGGTTGTCACGAGGCCAAGTAAAAGCACCTGCTGTCCAACTCGAACGTGTGCCGCCATTTACCCGACTGTGCCGGTCGGGGGTTTGGACAAGGAAGTGATTATGTGGGAGTGGGATAGCGCCGTCAGGGAATGTGAGACAGCCAACAGTGCTTTTCACCATCTCACTAATGTTACGGTTCTAACTTTGTTCAAAGTTAGTCGGCCCTCCTGGGGCTCTAAATGTTTACCTGCCCTGCCTGTTGGTACACAGCACCTCTGAAAAGATCCCAAGATGTTCCCAGGACATAGGGATGCAACCAGGGATCATCCTCATCAGATACTCAAACCACCTCAACACACTTCTGTTGACACGGAGAAGGGCTCTACTCTTCCTTTGTGAGGCCTAGCCTGGTTACCATGTGGCAGAAGCTTATTTCAGCTGCCTGTATCTGGGATCTCAGTCATGATCAAAGAGTTTTTCTTTGCTGCAACAGACCAGAACAGGTCCCTCATCCAATCCATTGGTGTAACCTTCATGAACAAGACACGAATGACACTTTTCTTGTGTGAAAAACTCATTCCCAGCCTTGTGGGGATATTCCACCCTTTTTGCATTGAGAAAATGTAAGAATCAGTTTACAGACCACGGGTACTTACAAGGTCCAAACTCTGCAGCCTGAAGCCATAAGCTGCTCCTCTCTTACTGCTGTTCATGTAGTTACCAAAGGCAAGAACAATCTGTGGGGAAGCGCGTAAGGTTAGTATGAAAGTGTAAAAGCTACATCAGAGTTTACTAGATCTTTACTCACTTCTAAGATCTTTTTCAGTTTAGTGGAAGACTTGATGGACATGGATGCAGCGATGACGGAGTTCAGTTGCTGAGGATTAAAGTAAAAAGCAATCTCAGCACATTCTGGTTGACATCTACCCCAGACAGACCTACAGAATACCTCACAAACCGACCGGCTGCAGGCGTCTGACGCTTTCGGGGAAGTTGCCCATGAAAGTCAGAGTGTTTATTCGCTGTCTCAGACGGGAAATCTTTCCGAAGCTTAAGATAAATCTGTCTTCGTCCGTCAGCTCCTCCAGTGGACGGCCATCTTTCTCGTAGTTAACCAGAAGCTTCATCTCAAAGTCCGACGGTATGAAATGTTCAAGCAATTCCAGGAAGTCTATGGACAAAGACTTCTGGTCGTACCTGGACAAACAAGAATCAGTGACTTTGTGAGTGTGGAACACAAGATGAGAGGATGATCATCAGCAGCAGCACACACTTCTCTATAGCAGTGCAGATGGCAGATGGGCTCATCCCGCCCTTGCGTAGAGTAATAGCTAGATTCTTGGCTTTGTTTGCATCAATCAGAGACGTTTTGGTCGGAGCCTTTTGAGACATCTTCTTCTTGACCTTGCACAGATCGGCTGAGTTTCCCTGGGCTCTGGTCTTGAAGTGTTCCTCAAACATCTCCATGTTCAACTCCTGATGAAAACAGAACAAAAGGCAGAGATAAAGACGAGAGAAGGAAGTATTTTAATTCAAGGGTCACATCAAAAACAAACAGTTCTGGGTGCGCATGGAAACAGGTGTGTGATCTCACCCCTAAGACCTGCTCGTCATCGAGTTCATTGAAGACTGTTCCTGAAACTTGGTTTGGTTTTAAAGCCTGCCAGTTCAGCAAAGGCATCCTGTACTTGGTCTGTATGGGTTTCTTACTCTTAAACCCTGAAGGAGAAAAAATAAACACGTTAAATCGGATCAAACGTCAGATTTTCCGTTTCACTTCTTACTGAACAGGTTTTATCATAACGTCCTCACCAGAGTGAGTGTTTGGTGCTCCAGGGGGCGGTGGAGGTCCACCTCCAGGTGGGGGTGGAGGTCCGACACCAGGAGGTGGAGGGGGAGGTGGTGGTGGAGGTCCAGCACCAGGGGGTGGAGGAGGAGGAGGTGGTGGGCCAGCACCAGGGGGTGGAGGAGGAGGAGGTGGTTGGCCAGCACCAGGGGGTGGAGGAGGTGGAGGTGGTGGACCAGCACCAGGGGGTGGAGGAGGTGGAGGTGGTGGACCAGCACCAGGGGGTGGAGGAGGTGGAGGAGGAGGGGGAGCAATAGTGCCTTCTCCTAATGGAGGAGGAGGTGGAGGAGGACCACCAGGAGCAGAGGCAGGAGGAGGTGACGAGTGGAGGGTGGATGATGGGGTGTCCGTGTCTGATTGGGTGGTTGGAGTTGGACTTTGGATGTACTCTATGACCTTTACAGGCACAACCTGGATATCCAGAGCTCCGGAGGCGTTACATCCCACTCGGATCAGACCCTTGTCCTGCAGCTCCTGGATCTTCTGATCCAGCTCGGAGGGGGACTGGCTGATGGAGGTGCGCCGAAACTCCCTGTCCTTCTCTCGCTCCCGATCCAGCTCCCGCTCTCGTTCTCTCTGCTGCAAAACGCTCACCTGGGCGCATGACTCACGCAGGCTCTCCTGCAAGATGGACACAAATGTGCTAGCATCACTTCTCTGCTCTGTGACATTTGTTTATTTGTTTTCAGCACACACAAAAGTTAACAACCGACAGATTTTTAAAATCATCAAACTGAAGATGGCCCTAAAATGTCTTCAGGTGTAATTCTGGTCATCTGGCCCACCTCACACATCAGTCAGCCAACAGATAACACTAACCTGCCTCCACCACACTATGGGATGGGAATTACATTACTGACACAATTCCAGTTTACATGTTTTTCCACGAAAGAGGAAGGTCATGTGTGCGAACATTCAGCAATGGCAGGAACGCACCTCTGGGTGGCGCGTGGCGCCCTGGACAACAAACAACTTATTAGTTTAGTCATGCAGCTGATGAAGCGTGAAGCTAACCGGAGCAGAGCCATGGTGTTCAAGCCAACCTCAGGATGCGCTTCGCTGCTTTTCACTGACCTCTGGGGCTGGCTCAAGCTGCCATGTCTGCTCACTGTGGTTCTGTTATGTCAACATCTGAATCATCAAGCTGTTTGTGCCTTTTTAGTTTCTCATTTCATTCATTCATCAAAGCGCATGCCAATAAGCTGCATCATGAAATGAGTCAGAACCTCTCGTGAATTTAGATGGTTCTGTGCAGAACTGACCACGTGTTAAATGAGAGGCAAGTATCAGCATGAATAAAAGCTTTTGATCTTTTTAAGGCGTACTGTAATCGTGAATAAATCTAAAATCGTTTCAGGAGTTTTGTTAGTCTACACTTAGGGGCTATCCACTCATGAATATTTACATGTAAATCAGGACCATTTGAACTGTTTAGCATGGGACTTTGTTGATTAGCTTACTAGGCTACGTGTGGCTAATGGTGATAGGAAATAATTGACTGAAAATCTGATCAGAGATCAGAAAACCAACCTTTGAGGTGGTGTCATATGAAAAGGTAAAGAAGGACAAGTTCTGATTTATCCTCATTTGGGCACGAGTCAAATTTCATTACAAACCTCCGACTTTGTTGATTTTCTTCATAAGATATGTTTTTGTTCTTCCCTTTGAAGGTTGCACACATGAGGAAACATCTCCTACCTTGAGCAGTTCAGTCTCCTTGGTGGCCTGCATGAGCTGAGTTTCAAGTTCAGCGGTCCTCTCTGCGGTGTGCTGCTCGATCTCCTGAAGCTGGGCACTCAGCTGCAGCACAACGCATGACCAACACTTCCTTTAATGCACTTTATGCCCCACAATCCAAGCAAAATCAAAGATATTTATGATTTCGCTGAAGAGTCCTTTAAAATGCCGTGTTTTACCTGCACATTGACATTCTGCAGTTCTTCCACATGCTCCAGCACCCCTCCCCTGTTCTCAGCGTCCTCCAGCAGAGCTCCAACATCCAACACGTTGTCCAGGTAGGCCTGGATCTGCACCTGCAGCTTCTCACTCTCTGTTTGTTTCACACTCTGATGCACAAAAACACACAACAACCTGAGATATTGTAAAAAATAGATGGTAAATGTCTCATATTAGCAGTGATAACAGATCGTTCATGTGGAAGTTTTTACTTTCAGATCGTAGTTTTCAAATAAATCAGAAACTTGAAAATGTATTCTGTGACTTGTTGTCCTTTGAGATAAATGGGAATCAACCAATGGTGTATCAACCACTGTAGGTGGGAGCCATCCATCAGCTCCCTGATCAAAAAGGCCCAGCAGAGGATGTACTTTCTGCGGCAGTTGAAAAAGGCCAAGCTGCCTGCCCAGATGATGGTGCAGTTCTACACGGCCATCATCGAGTCCATCCTCACCTCCTCCATCGCTGTGTGGTACGCTGGAGCCACAGTGAGGGACAAACATAGACTGCAGCGCATTGTGCGCTCTGCTGAGAAGGTGATTGGCTGCAGCCTTCCATCTCTCCATGACTTGTACGTCTCCAGAACTCGGGGGCGTGCAGGTCGGATAGCAGCTGACCCTTCGCACAGACTTTTTGAGCCGCTTCCCTCAAGCAGGAGGTTACGGTCCATCCGGACCAGAACCTCCCGCCATAAGAACAGCTTCTTTCCATCTGCCGTTAGACTTGTGAATAGATTATAAACACACAACCACGCTCGTCTTCTGTACTCGACACAACGTCACGTTATCGGCCATGTTACCATTACCTGCCATTTTTTATAGCTGAAAGTTTTATTCTAGTTTATTTATTATATTTTATTCTATTTTATTCTATTTTTAATCTTATTATTCATGTTATATGTAGAACATTAGTACCGAAGCAAGTTCCTAGTTTGTGAATTGTTTGTTCACTGACGATGGCAATAAACCTATTCTGATTCTGATTCTGATTCTGATCAGCTAGTCAGAGCTGTCGGCCCACCAAACCAAATTCAGTGCATTTCTAATGAAACATTGCATCAGAAGGATGGACGTCTAAACAAAATGTTAGTATGAAGCTCCATTGAAACTAGAGAAGCTGCTAAATAATCTGATAAGTCTGCAGAGGCTCGTCAGCTAGCTGCATCCTGGTGGACAGCTTCAGTTTTCTGCTCTTAGGAGAATGAATACGCACATCTACGGTGCTGTGTTTAACACACTCACCTCCAGATACTTGTCTAATCCCAGATGAGTGAATTCGTACTGTAGGTGGACACGGAAGTTCATGTTCTCCACTGAATGGACCACAATATTTATGAACTGCATGCAGGCCACCTGGAGGCAAACGGCTGAGTCTTTATCAGGTCTTCTTCTACTGTACAATAAAAGTAGAACTGATCTGGACCTACCATGAAGTCGATGTTGTTGTCGTCATTGATGAAGTACTCCATCAGCTTCTCAAAACGGTTCCTTTCTTTGCTCATCTGAAGAAAAAACTGATTTTGTAATAAACATGTTGACCCGATTTGGTGTTTCTGCCAAGCGTGTGTATTGGTCACTACAGTCAGTTATTGACACGCTGATGAGCTACAGCGCAGCAACAGCTGCCCTGGGACACACGCTGGCGGTGCCGGTCCCAAGGACATAACACCTGACATGAACAAAGCTGGGGCTTGAACCGGCAACCCACCAGTTACAGTGTGGACTCCTAACATCTGAGCCACCGCTGCCCCTCAATGTGGCCTCAGTGCATGATTGTTGCACGGGTTAAAATTGTGACCACAGAGAATGTGAAAGGCTGTGTCCCTCACAGGATGAGTAATGAAAGAGGGGAAGTCTGGTTTAGAAAATTGCAACAAAAAAGTACATGTGATTGTTGCAACATGGCAAAATGACCATAAAATACCAGAATTTCACCTCCTTAAAATTGTCAAAAGCAGAAAGAATGATGTCGTGCCCTCCTCTGACAAGACACACGGCAGCCAGCAGCTCCAGCACCAGAGCTTTGGTCCTGTCGGGGTGGAGGAGGAGGAGGAGGAGGAGTGAGATGTGGATACAGACAGACAGGTAACACATGGTCTGCCTCAGACGCACACACACACACACTCACCTGGGATTCCTGCTGTTCAGGCTGAGGGTGATTTCATTCACACAGCGAGGGTGGTTCATCACCAGGTTGAAACCAGACTGGAAAAGAGGCAGACATCAGCTCATGCTCTAAATGTAACAAAATCCGAAGGAAGTGGGGTTGCTTTCTAATAGGAAGATGAAGCAACTGATGGATAACTCTGCACCTGGTAGTTCATGATCGCTCTCAGGCACATGATGCACACATGGATATCATCTCTCTGGTAGGATAAATGGGACTTCCTATGCATCCTGTGTGCAAGCGTGGCTCCGATTCTGTGAAAGGAAATAAAAAGGATGTTGGCCACATGTGACTCTGAAGGACTTCCAACAGCTGGAATCACCAGAGCCGTGTTTTTGTAAAGTCCCAGGCCTAACCCAGCCAAGTGAAGCTGATATTTTCACATTTATTTTGGAGAATTAATAAAAATGGACACAGCTTTTTTAAGAAAAAGGTTCTAAACGTTTCAGTGATGGAAGGTGTCAAATGACTTCTGCTTTTGCACAACTTTGTATCTAATGATCTGTTCCAGCGTGTTCTGCAAGTTCCTTTTTACTGTGAGCGTGTGTTTGGGTGCTCGACATAAGCAGCCAGGTCCAGTTTCGGACTGGTGCCTCCTACCGAACGGTCAGGGCTCGAGCTGCTCTGGTCATGCCGTGGGTGTGACCACTGCTGGGGCTCTTAGTCAAGTCCTCCATCGACCTCTCTGCTGGTTTCTGTCTGTCTGACAGGGTGCCGCCATTTTCCAAGCTTTCAACATCAAATCTGTGGAGATTCACACTCCGTGAGACTCACGCTTCCCTGTCGGCTGATCCCTGATTCCCTTTAATACTCACGAGGTGTCACTTTGAGCATGCGACAAGTATTCCACCAGAACATCCAGACCTTTATTCTGCTCATCTAGGAATTCCTGCGCCCACCTGGAGTCGTAGCAGAGGATAAACTCAGATCAGACTTTAAAAGATCAGCAAACCAAACATGTTTCTGCTCCTGCAGAGAAAACCTGAGCGTCAAAGTCAAACCTGATGCTTCACCTCAGCACACTCATATGGTTTCTGCTACATCCTTTTTTGGAGGTCAACACTTCCAGTGTGTAGGTGGTTAAATATAAGTATTGGAAGCGCCTACAGATATTTTAGTTATGGGCATTCAAACCTTTTTTAACAAATATCACCAAAAAAATGCATTGAAATAATCCGTAAATGCATCCTAAACCATGAATGACAATCTTCGTCTGCTTTGTGCATCTTTGCATTTCGTCCTATAAGCTTTTGGACCAACAATGATGCTACTTGAAGAAGATTATGGCATCGAATGTCGTAGAAGTGATAAAAGAAGTTTTGTTTGTCACTGAGGCTCATCAGAAATGCTTTTGTCCCACATTCTGGTACGGCAGGTGAAGTTGGTATTAGGATCACAAACCCAGCAGGAGGCTTGTGTTGGTAGTTTAGCAGCACTGAAAGGTTCTCTTAGCCTAGTGAACTAGACCAAATTCTTGCTTTGCAAAGAATGCATTTATTTAGTCTGGCTTGCCAGGCTAAGGTTCTCTCAAACTTGAATAACTTGTATTACTAGTGGTACTTTTGGGTTGCCATACAGATAAATTCCTTCAGTGCTTCTCAATAACTTGGTTGTGGTAAATATAGATATGTTTAACATTGTATTTTGTATTCAAATGAAATGTTTAAATATGCTTCCAGGTTGATTCAAACATAAATTGAGCTATAAGCTAACCTAAGACTGTGAGAAATTAGATGATTAAGCTGCATAAAAGCAAATTTCACGTAAAGATCCCGTCTAAATCAGCATACTCACCCGATGTGGTTGGTGCGGAGGGAAATCTCCAAGGCTTTAAGGACCTGGGTGGCATCTTGGATTCTTTTCTTTAACTAAACAATCAGAAGAGTTTGTTTGTTGTACGATCTGAAAGCTAAAGTGTTAACGACAAAGCTAGCCTTCCACTGACCCGTCGAGACACCCCGCCTTGATCTTGATAGAAACTCTTAATCTTGGCCAGGTAAGTGGATGGAGGGCTCTTCACCTGGAAACGCTCCTGACGAACAGCATTTTTGTTATTAACAGGATTATTTTTACTAGACACAAAAAAAGATGACTTCACTATACGTGTACACTCCTTTTGAAACTGTTCCTGCATGCACGCACAAACCACTCTGTTTCCATGCCAGCGCATCTGTTCGTTGCCACCACAGAAGAAAGAAGTGCTGCAAGGTTTGTGCGCTGTGTGCATCACTCAGTTGCTCTCTGCTGTTTTTTTTTATGCACTTGACATCAACTCCGTCCCAGCGTAGGAGGCGGAGCAAGAGCCCCATGCATGATGTAAGTTTGTAATTATAAGGCCTCTCACCTGGTCACAGACTAATTCCCATTTCTTGTCATTGTCATATTGATCCAACAGCGTTAGTTTATCTGGAGGCAAGTTCATGGTGTTCTGGAAGAGACAGACAAGAGAAATGTTTTAAAATAAAAAGAAAATCGTGATTTCAACCTCAATATGATTTTCTGAGAACATTTTTGACAAATGTTCCATTTTATTCTGTAGTAAGCAAGGTAGCTCCATTTATGCAGCACATTAGAGGCAGTTCTAGCTTTTCACGTGAAAGAAAATGCAGAAAACAGTAGATTTTATAATAAAAGTGTAAAATACGCAAACACATTTATTAAAAAGAGTTACGTCTGCTAGTGCAGAAGGTGCTACATAAGAAGCAGTGACTCAAAGGCAGATGGAAACATCCAAGTTTGTTAGTAGTTATTTATTCTTTCTGCTGATGCAGCAATGTTTACAGTGACGAAGCAGCAAATGTCTTTCCAGTGAAAACAGAAGGACTGTTTTGTTGTTTACGTGCGCTTTTCACTTTTGTGTTTGTGTAATGATTTAGTACAGTGTGGATCCTAATGCACGATTTTCCATTTTTCCACTGGGATGAAATCTGCAAGGACTGCATTTTTGTCCTTCATAACCTTTCCTTAAATGTGCCAGATTTGGTTTTATAATTGAAAGTGGAAGGATGAAAAGATGTTGTTTTTAAAGCTAGTTATTTTCTAACAGGGTGGTTTGATGTGCTCTCAAACAACTCTAGTGTCAAACATATAACAGAGTTTCATTTGGAGGCATTTTAAACCTTGTTACTTCCATCAGTTTCAAATGACACAATAATTCTCTCACAAATATGAATTTCTAACTAAGTTTCTTCTTATTTCTGCCATGAATGATTTTAAAACTCTATTTTACTAGAAGTGTTCTTAGCACATGGTACCTCTCAATGACTTTTTGAGATTAGAGGTTTTTTTATGGCAGTAATCCAATTTGGAGATGGCTCCACTGAGACTAGCAGTTAGCTCATCGGTCTGGTCCGATCTAATCCCTGAATTTGAAAACTGAAGATGTTTTAAGAGGAAATTTATACATTTTTCACATAGTCAATCCACAGAAAGTCACTCTGAAATGTGTGAACTAGTGTGTTTTAATCGTAATAAACAGGTGTTTAAACTCTGATAGACATAAAACTAAATATATGAATGCATTTCCAGATAATTTAATCTTCCATCCTGCTTAAAATTGTGATAAATTAGTAATAAATGAGGTGAATGTTACACCGATCCATTGAAAGTCCCCCACCTTCATGGTTTCTCAGTGTGGGATGATGCAATCATATGAAAAGTTGACATTTAGTGTGCAGAAAAGGTCAGTTTCTGTCTGAATTACAGAAAAACGTCCAGTTAGTCAAAGTAACACTGTTCCTCCTCTGTACAGGGTTAGGGGTACGAAGAAAAATGAACCTAAATAAGTTTAAACAGTCACTCAGGATCAATGCTGAAAAATAATTTAGATTTGTTTCCGTTATTTCTAATCATTCAGCCCATGGCTGCTGTAAATGTGTGCTGTTTGCTTACCCAACCAGATAAGTCAGAACAAACTTTTACTCACAAAACAAATTATTCTAGTCGACACTGGGTGTGGTTGTGAACTTGGAAAAAAAAACAGAATCAGAACGGAAATGGCCCGTTGCTTCGAGTCTGAGGTGTTGAGCTTCATCCTGGTGGGGTTAAGGGAGGAGTCCTTCTGCGGGTTCTGTGGTGCCGGACGTACAATTTAAATACACCAAACTTTTAGTTTAGATGAAATAGTGGAAAATAGAAAGAGAAGATCTACTTTCCCTTTTCTTTTTTGAATTTGTTCAGAAAGGTTTTAACACAGACTCTTTAAAGCTGCCTTAAGATGGGAAAGGAGACATTTTGATGAAAGAGGAAGTGAGGTCATAGGTTCATATGATGCCTAGCAGGGTGTAGCAAACACAAAGCCGTTAACAGGCTGTTGCTCAGATGTTGTTACATGAATAATAACTGTGTGTCAGTTTCACCATGGTGGACGCTGCAACATGCAAAAACATTACAAACATCTTTTTAGAGGATCTTTCATTTGAAAAGAGACCAAATAATACAGAAACAGTTTACTTAAATCTAAAGTTATCAGCACATATCAGATAACCTTGATGCATTAAGTATACCTAATGTGTTTAATATACCTAATGTATTAAATAAACCTAATGTGCCTTAAATATAGTTAATGCATTAAATATACCTAATACGTTAAGTATACCTAATGCGTTAAATATTCCTAATGTATTTAATATACCTAATGTATTAAATAAACCTAATGTGCCTTAAATATAGTTCATGCATTAAATATACCTAATACATTAAGTATACCTAATGCGTTAAGTATACCTAATGCGTTACATATCCTAATGTATTTAATATACCTAATGTATTAAATAAACCTAATGTGCCTTAAATATAGTTAATGCATTAAATATACCTAATACATTAAGTATACCTAATGCGTTACATATCCTAATGTGTTTAATATACCTAATGTATTAAATAAACCTAATGTGCCTTAAATATAGTTAATGCATTAAATATACCTAATACGTTAAGTATACCTAATGCGTTAAATATTCCTAATGTATTTAATATACCTAATGTATTAAATAAACCTAATGTGCCTTAAATATAGTTCATGCATTAAATATACCTAATACATTAAGTATACCTAATGCGTTAAGTATACCTAATGCGTTACATATCCTAATGTATTTAATATACCTAATGTATTAAATAAACCTAATGTGCCTTAAATATAGTTCATGCATTAAATATACCTAATACATTAAGTATACCTAATGCGTTACATATCCTAATGTATTTAATATACCTAATGTATTAAATAAACCTAATGTGCCTTAAATATAGTTAATGCATTAAATATACCTAATATGTTAAGTATACCTAATGTGTTAAGTATACCTAATGCGTTCAGTATACCTAATGCATTAAATATACCTAATGTGTTAATTATACCTAATGCAGGGTTTATCCCAGCGCTTTATAAGCCCAGACCAAGCTTCCCCCGCCCCCCCCCCCCCCCCCCCCCCCCCCCCAGTCACAGACGAGAGACGGTAGAAAAACAACCCGCTGTCACAGAGTAGTGGAACTATCATTGCGCAGCCCAGAAAACTTCACCAAGGGAGGTATCTTGACCAGATGCCCGAGCCACCTCAATTGGCTCCTCTTGATGTGGAGGAGCAGCGGATCTACTCTGATCCCCTCCCAGATGACCAAGCTTCTCCCTCTATCTTTAAGGGAGAGCTCAGACACCCAGCAGAGAAAACTCTCAAATTTCAGCCGCTTGTATCCGCGATCTTGTTCTCTCGGTCACTACCCAAAGCTTGTGACCATAGGTGAGGGTAGGAACGTAGATTGATCGGTAAATCGAGAGCTTTTCCTTCTGGCTCAGCTCTCTCTTCACCACGACAGATCTGTACAACGCTTGCATCACTGCAGACGCAGCACCAATCCACCTATTGATCTCGTGCTCCCTCTTTCCCTCTCTCGTGAACAAGAGCCTAAAATACTTAAACTCCTCCACTTGGGGCAGGACCACATCCCTGACCCAGAAAAGGCATTCTACCCTTTTCTGAATCAAGGCCATGGTCTCAGATTTAGAGGATCTGATTCTCATCCCAGCTGCTTCACATTTGGCTGTGAACCGCTCCAGTGAAAGCCGGAAATCACGTTATGAAGCCAACAAGACCACATCATCTGCAAATCCACCAATCTGCTCCTCTACCTCTATATGGGCGTTCCTCAAGGGTCGATACTGGGCCAAAACTTATTCAAAATCTATATTAATAACATTGTTCATGCTGTTGACAGTGCTCATATACATTTAGATGCAGATGACACAATTTTATATGCATGCAGTTCTACCTTGAATGCAGCTCTGTCCTCCTTGCAACACAACTTTAATTGTCTTCAACATGCCTTCTCCAACCTTCATCTCCATTTAAACACAAGTAAAACAAAGTCCAGGATCTTCAACTGTAACTTACTGCAATCAACTTGCCACCCTAATGTTTCCCTGGATGGTACAACAGAACTACAGCTTGTCAGTTCTTATAAGTATCTGGGTACCTGGCTTGACAGACACTTTCATTTGACATTTATATGAATTCATTACTTTCTGAAGTCAAGTCAAGAATTAGGTTTCTATACCACAACATCCTTTACTCCCTCTGCAAAGCAATCCTTGGTCTGAATGACGATCCTTCCCATCTTAGATTACGGTGACATCATTTATAGGACTGCTTCCAAAAAACGTCTTCATAAACTCGATGTCATTTATCACTTAGTAGTCCGTCTCGTCACTGGTGACTCTTTTACTACTCATCATTGTTATCTGTACTCTCTCGTTAACTAGACATCACTCCATCCCTGCAGGTTGTTACATTGGTATCAGTTTATATACAAAACAATCATCGGTAGAACCGCATCATATCATCAGTCGTTACTCATCACATCCAACAACCAGTGTAATTTATGTTCCAGTAGCTTAATCTCCATGGTTATTCCCAAAGCTTGCACCTCCTTTAGCCTCTCCTCATTCCAGTTTTCTGCTCCCAACGACTGGAATGAGCTGCAAACATCATTGAAGCTCACTGCCTACATTTCATTATCTACCTTCAACAAGTCATTGCAATCAAAGTTTCTGATGAATGTTCCTGCTTCTGAGTTCTTAAAGACTGTTATAAAGCGACAGTGTGTATTTTTCCTGGCGATAGCGGGCAGTACATACCTAAATGAATGTAAGCAGACATTACTTTTGTGTTCAAGTAAGACCTTACCAACGGATGGCCATTTGGATCAAAAATCCCTGAGAGCACATCGTCCAGCAAAACAAGAACATCAAATTGTCTTTCATCACTGGCAATGGGTGAAGAGGTAAATGTGTAAAACAATGTTTGTGTATGGTGAAAGTTTTCTTACCATTTGTTACAAATCAGTAAATGTGTTTTGTCCTCGCGGGCTTCTGTAGAAGGAAACATGGCATCCAATATGGCATCGCCCAGAGACTTAGACCCACTCCCATGTATTTTAGAATGAATTCTATGATTATATGTTATGAAACACCAATATTTTTGAACATCTGGGCATCTTTTAAATCATTTACAACAACATTTCGATTGATTTTTCCAGAGATTAATGGTAAAAACTACACATTGTCACTTTAAGTCTGTTTTTATTGCTTGTGTATTATATATGAGAACAGTCCTTTGTCTTTATGTCTAAGTGTTTTATTTTATTTTTATCTTGTATGTTTTTATCTTATCCTTTTTTTTCTTTGACGTAAAGCTAACTATTTGTCTATTGCTGTTGCCTCTTGGCCCGATAGTCATTGTATGAGAATGAGTTCTCCATCGACTCATCTGGTTAAATAAAGGTTAAATAAATAAAATATACCTAATGTGTTAAATGTACCTAATCATTAGGTAAATATTACACATTAGGTCTTAAAGTATTAAATATACTTAAGGCATCACATCGTTTTTCCTCTACAAAGCGTGACAGAACCAGATGTAGGTGTGATCTTGTGGTGCAGACGTCCCTCACTAATGGGAAAAAGGCTGGTTCTGGTTCACGGATCGTTTTGTACCAGGTCACATGGAAGGCGTGTGAAAAATCTTTTAAAAATATACACATGTGAGTTTGATTGGGTTGTTATTGATCTGCAGGATGTTTTGTTTAGGTTACAGTGTGATGACCATAGAAGTGAATTGCATAATGATGACATTTGTCTCATATGTTTAGTGATTGACTGTTGTTTTGAGCTCTTTATCATGCTGCTATGATGTCATGTGTGACTACACCCCAACCCCTTCTAACCAGCGGAAATGCTGCGTCATTAAAAACAGATCCAAAATGCAAAAGAAGCTGGAGATCAGTAATGTGATCTTGTGTGATATTTGATTTGGGCAACAGTGTGTGACTGCAGGACAGTCGAGCATCTGATCTTATATCTCAAAAAAAAAATTAAGTCCTAAAAATGAGCAGCTCTGCAAAAAAACAGACATCCTCTTTATGTTTGCATCATCTTGTTGATCTCATGCAAATGAGCCAAATCAGAACTTGGACCTAGACTTTCTCTGCATGACCCTTTAAAGAGAATGATGTTGTTATCTTTATTCATGTTGTTTCCCACATCTAGCCTTTCTGGGGCGTTTCAGGACAAACTGTGAGTTTGTTTTGGTTTTGATGAAACTGACAAATAAATAAATAATGAAATTAAAGGGTGATCTTTTGTTTCAAACATTCAGCTTTTGTTTGTTACTAGAATAAACAAAGATAAATATTGAAGTAAATCTAAATAAAAGAACATTTTTGTTTCCTGACAAAGAAAAGCTGCAGGAGTTCTGTTTTTGTAGACTGCTGGGAGGATGGTGAAACACTTGCTTTCCGGTCTTTCGCTCTTTCTTATAAATATGTTGCTCAACTTCCCCTTGAGCCCAGCTACACATGCATGCACTAATCTCCCTTCTCCTTACCTTGCCTTTTGAAATATTAGTTTTAAAAAAACCACAATTGCTACCAAATAAAACTTTTAAACACCTGTTAAAAAACAGCCACATCATGTCTGGGATTTACTTGGTTAAAGCTGATTTTGGCAGCTGAATAGTAAAAGTGGAGATTAGGCAGTCGCAACAATTGTTGCTTTTTCTTTTATTTATTTACATTTTTTTCTTTGCCTCTACGTCATCATTACCTGTGTGATTCCTGGAGTTCCTACTATAACATCTAATGGATTTCATGTGCAGCAAAAGAGTGAAACTCACCAGCACTGCCTTGAAGCGCTCCTCCAGCTCCTCCTCTGGGGGCATGGGAAGTTTTGGGGGAGCCGGCTGCTTCTTCTGCGGAGTTAGCGTGGGGTCACTCATTGTTGAAGCTGCCCCGACGGAGTTCCTGGCCTCTCTGCCCTCAGTCGGCTCATGCTCCGAGCCCCCTACAGCCACATTCCCCATCACTAATCTCCAAATGTAATCCAGGAGGAAAGCTGTACACAAACCCCTTCACCTAAAACAGAACCAATGTACTCCAAAGCAGAGTGACCAAAGCTGACCACTCCAAATGACAAGAAGCAAGTCTGAAACCGTCAAGGTGAGGAACTCCAAACTCTAATTCAAGGAATCCTCCTTTGTCCTGAGGAAAGGGTGGATGGTGAAAAAACAAGGTATGCATTCATGTTTGTCTCCTCATTAACATCTCTTGTCTACAGGTTTCTGTCAAAGTCAAACTCTTTGTTAGGGTCTGCTACGAGAAATACTCAATGCACCTACGTCGCACCACACTGGCTGACTGAGAACTCCTCTGCTTGCTGAAGAGGCCAGTATGTGAGAGGAAGGAGAATGTGACACACTCTGTCACACAGACAGAAACCACAGAGGCACAAAAGCAGAAGAGTAACTTCCTGTGTGTGACTGCAACAAAAACCTGGTGTTCAAGACAAGGTGAAAGATAACTGTCAGCACTTGATACAGAGCCCAACATGAAAAAAAAACTAACACAAGACTAAAAAAGCTGGGTGGTTTATGTTTAACAAATATTAATTAAAAAATACCTTTGCCCTGAACCCAGAGTTTCTTGAGAGTAGCCGCTGCCAGATGTATGTTAGTCACATCTGTTTGGGTGTCTGATGATCTCAGGTCATGTCAATAAGGTAAAGACAGGTTTATACCATCAAACCAGGTAAAACAGCGTCCTCGTGCGTTCGAGGCTAGTTACTGCGTGTAGTTATGCTGCGTTTGAGGTCTCATGGCTGTTATCAGAAACTTATGTATCTAAATTTTGTAATTCAACAATATCAAATACTTTTTCGAGACAATATATGATAACATTTATTTATTTATTTATTTATTGTTACAGTTATTTTCAAGCACTCTCAATAACGTAGGAGTTTCATTTGTGTACTTTCTAAACCAGTTTGTTGCTAATATTAATAAACAGTTGGTGGCTTGTGTCTGTGTTGCAACAACAGAAGTAAACGTGTTCAGCTTTTGAAACAATATTTTTGTCTCTGTGCTTTTAGTCCTCTAAGACTAGAAGAGAAATTAGGAATTCCCGGGTCACGTGAAGGCAGCAGCACTATTAGTTTTTTAGCGTTTCAAAATGACGGACCCAGAGGAACACTGGAAAGTAAGTCACAAAACCCAACTTTTTCAGCCCTTGGTTCGTATCTTTGCGTTTGTGAGTGTGGAGTAGAATGTGATCAACTGTTTTCTCAACGCTAAAGTTGGAACATGGCTTCAAAAGCTAGCTAACATTAGCTTGGTGACGTATTGTAGCAGTTAGCCAGCATGCTAGTTAAGTAAACAAAGCCTTGAAAACGGAATTGTTTTTCCATATCAAATGAAGTCGTTTAAAACATATATTTACATGCACAAACAGCCAAGGAAATATGGTTATTTAGAACTTTTTGGCGTATTCTTAAAATTAGTCTGAAAATACTTTTTGGGTGACAACAGCAGCTGTATACAAACTAATATGTTAATAATAAAATATATAAAAAAGGCACTGTGTATTTTTCTTGTAAGTTGTTTAATAGTCGATTAACAGTATTTTAAATCATTTTTATCTTCAACCTTCAGAGCAATGTTTATACAGGACTAATCCTCACATGTCTGATTCTTTATTTGCTGAAGACTGACGAGGCCTTTGAGGAGTTTCTCCCCCAGAATCAGGAGGAAATCTAGGCTAACATACATAACTACATAAATAAAAACACGGACTGTTGTGTTGTGCTGCACTACATCAAACAGCAGATCTGTGATTGAAGCAATTTTATCTTCTGTTCTTGAATTGGACAAATCAGGACAGTGCTCAGTGGGGTTTGGATTGGCTTGCTGTTTGTGTTTTGTCGACATATTTAGGGCAGCACACATTTCCCCTCCTCAACCCAATCTCACAGCTTCTGGTTTCCTTTTTCTTCTTCTTGGTGATGGCTGGACAGACAGACGGGGCTTTCAGTGACAGTGGGTTTGACACAAGTGAGTCATTTTTACTTTTCTAATGAATGCTTTTTCATTTTCACATAGCACATGATTAATTAAATCATTTTTGTTAATGGTGGGTTTATTTTTAACCCTTTTTATAAAATCTGGGTTGTTTTCCAGGTTTCTTTGCTGAAACTGCTAGAAAGGGAAGCATTGTTTCCAGAGCCAACAGTATCGGCTCAACCAGTGCCTCTTCAGTACCAAATACAGGTATCGTGTTTAAAACACAGATGATTTTATCTTGCTGATAGTTTATAAGTGTGAACGTGCCTTTTGACTACTCCTTATCCTTAAAGAAAAGGTTGAAACAACAAATCACAGAGATGGTGCCTTTATTTATTTTGTTTCCTGTCTCACATTCAAACACAAACCTGTCTGGTGAGTCTTGATGGTATTTCGTCTCATGTCTGGAGCTTTAAAATCTAGTCTGGGAAGGTGAACTTGCCATATTTAATAAATAAACTCTCTATGTTCTACCTTTTTGCATTTGCTAAAAATCCGTCTATAATTTGACCGGACTGAAGCAAACATATATTTGCTGCTGAAACAGAAACAGCCCTGTGTTATATTGTAGAAGGAGCCAACACAAAAATGATGCAAGTTTTCATTCGATTTTAAGATTTACAAAATTAAAAACATCCGTCCATTTTTTCTCATTTTAAACTTGATTTAAATAATTTCTGTTTTTAAACTGACACCAGATATGTAAGCAAGAAAATAATTGCAAATGAGTTCATTGAGAGTACAGATGTCAGAGGCTTGTTCCCAAACAGATGATGAAGACAGCGATTACAGGCACGAGACGTCATTTAAAGACTCCTTTAAAGATCGCCGGAGACAAGCACACACTCAAGCTGAGCAAAAGCGCAGAGATGCAATCAAGGTAGGACTTCAGGACTCCAACTGACACACTTTATAAGAGTTAGATTTAAAATTCTGGCTGTTTAAGAGTTAATATTGATTTCTATGTGTCATTAGAAAGGCTATGGTGACCTGCAGTCCATCGTTCCTACGTGCCAGCAGCAGTCTGAGTTTGCAGTTGGAGCCCAGAAGATCAGCAAGGCTACTGTTCTGCAGAAAAGTAGGAACCTTTTGCAATTTGAACATTTTTACACTGAACTGTTGGTAGAAAAAAAGAACTCTGTACAAACAATAATAAAACCTTTTAGTTATTTTAAAATGTGCAGGTTATGCGTGAGACATGATGAATAGCCCTCCCTGCTGCTGTTCTTCAACTTTATTAGCCATAAAATAACAAATCAGACACTGTTAATAGGCTGAGCAGTTTGCATATATTTAAAGTAAACCTCCAGCCGCTGCCTGGGGAGGCTCCGACTCGATCTCTTGATCAGGAATCATTCGGAATCAGGTGGGAAAGGACGTGACCTTTTACATTCATCCTTATACAAATTTTTAAACTGAATAACAATGGCTTAGGTTGAATTTGAACAAGTTCTGCTACGTCAATATTCTTTGTTTCATAGAGAGAAACGTCACAAAATTTACAGACGTGGAGTTCAGACACTATAACATGTAGCTGTTAGCTAGCAGGCTAACACAGAGCTAACGTGTCGCCGTCAAGATGGTTGCAAACGTCGGGTCTCCTGGAGCCGCGGTGAGTTTCCTTCTCGTCACACGCAGCTCTGCAGGTGTTGAGCAAAGTAAGTCTGCTGACCGTGCAGATCATGCCATGCACATCACTCAGCACGGCGACGAGGCACCTTATCTGTTATTAATAATATATTCATATTATTAACATACTTTTAATCAATTCACTTCTTGAACGAGTGATTTATTTGGCAAATAAATTAAGGAAATGACAAAAATACCAGAAGAAATAAAGATGAATAATAAAGAGGAGAACTTGGATGTATTCTTTTTTCTTATTTTAATTGCGTTGCTGAAGTATCGGATCGGGACACGGTATCAGCACATACTCGCAATCACATGACTGGGATCAGGAGAACATAAACGTTCTTGTTTAAACAAATGCTCATTTACAAAATGGAGAAGTTGTAACGACACCCCCACGTTTAAACTTCCGGTGTTGTAAAGAAGTCGCTGGTTGATGCTTTTCTGTATTTTATGGCTTTAGCTATCGACTACATCCATTTTCTTCACAAAGAAAAGAAGAAGCAAGAGGAGGAAGTTTCCATCCTGAGGAAAGAAGTGATGGCGCTTAAGATAATGAAAACGTAAGACGGGTTTTTATTGGACTATCTTTCTACCTGAGACTTGTGTAAACACATCCCAGTCCTGTCTGACCAGTGGTGTGGAGGACACATTAGGACCTCAGAAGTGACGAGCATGGACGGGGGCAAATGAGACTGATCCTCTAGGTCTGATCTGAGGCTTAAAGTGACAGTGTGTATTTTTCCTGGCGATAGGGGGCAGTAGATACCTGAATTGTTGCAAACAAGCTGTATTTTTGTGTTGGGAGTAAGACCTTACCAACAGATGCCCATTAGGGTCAAAAAGCCCTGGGGAGTGCAGACTTCAGCAAAATGACAAGCACATCAGACTCCCTTTCATCAGTGACAATGAGTAAAGAGGTAAACGTGTAAAACAACGTTTATGAACGGTGAAGTTTTAGTAAGCACTTGTTACAAATCAGTAATTGCATTTTGCCCTCAAGGGCTCCTGTAGCAGCCAGGAAACATGGCGTCTAATACGACTTAGACCCGCTCCCATGTAATGTAGACTGGACTTTTATGGTTACATGTTAAGAATCTGCCAATATTTTTCAACAACTGGGCACCATTTAATTTATTTTCAACAACATTTCGATGGATATTTCCAGAGATTAACGATAAAAACGGCACATTGTCCCTTTAAATACCTAGAAGTGTTAAAGGCAGTAAGGAAATTCAGTGGAACCATCTGGGATATTAAGAAAGGCAGGGTTTGTGGTGTTGTTCTGAACCTGCTGTCTTTCCCAACAGGAACTATGAGCACATAGTGAAGGCCCACCAGAACAACCCGCAGCAGGGAGAAGATCAGGTGTCTGACCAGGTCAAATTCAACCTTTTTCAGAACATCATGGACTCCCTGTTTGTGTCCTTCAGCAACTCGGTTTCAGTGAGCAGCTTCCAGGAACTGTCAGCCTGTGTTTTCAGCTGGATCGAGGAGCACTGCAAGCCACAGGTAAGGAACGCCACCGGCGCGTCCTTCTCAGCAAACCAGATCGCTCAGCTGAGATAATTTAGTGCTTTTTCTGCTCTGCCTCAGACGCTGCAGGAGTCTGTTGTCGGCGTGCTCCGGCAGCTCAACGGCCAGCTTTATTGATCGAGGAGAAGCCTCTGGTTAACTTCCAGAAAATGACTTTTGACTTGCTCTTGCCTCTCTGGATGGAGCAAACCCTTCAGGCCGTGCAGTATTCGCACGCGTCAGCCCATCGGTGACTCTGCGCCTGCGTGTTGATTACCTCATCGTGTTTTCTTAGCAGGAATTTAAAAAAAGCTGCCTTCAGCCACTTTCTGACCGTGTTTACATTCCCATAGAGCTGAGTGTAAAACACGAGAAAATTTCAACTTATGCTTTCAAACAGAAAAATGTTAGCACACATTTTAGCCTCATCGCTACAAAAATCTGACTTATTCCATTTATTTATACATGTGGTCCTTTTTTCCGGCGCAGCACGTCTGCCATTCCTGTCAACGGTCACTGCTCCAACGCTGAACGCAGCTTCTGTGGCGCCTCAGAGAAACACACTGGTGGTTTTAAAGTCCTCTGCCTTCAGTGTGGCGGTAAATAAATGGTTAGTTCCAAGAATGAGGTGGATAAATGTTGTAAATATGCCACAGGTCTCCAACAGGCTTTAGTGTTTAGTCACAGTTTAGCTGCAGGTGACCTGTCAAAAAGGTTCATTTAGCAGGTGTTGATTTTAATGAGCCTTCTTTGAATTTCAGCCCGATTTTAAATGCTGTCGTGTTTTCATGATCCGTGACGTCGCTCTGTGCTACAGTGAAAGCAGAAACTCTAAAATGCATCAGTTTGTTTTTTTTATTCCAAACCTCTGACTCTAGATTCTCTAGGATCAGCAGCAGATTTGAACGTTTTGTTCTTGTGGACATGATCTGCTGCGGAAGTCTGGCTCGTTTCATGTTCTAATATTTTTCTGTTTGAAATGTTTAAAAGGTTACGCACAGATAAAAACACACAGCCACTAAAGTCTCTCTAGTTTTTCCCGTAACGTCAAAACTGCACTCTTCCCTCTGCCCTGTTGTGTATATGTTCAGTGGACTGCTGCTGATGCTGTTTTGATGACATCGCATGGTGGCCGGTGGTGAATTAATCACCATCAGGAGAGAAACTTCAATTTATGGACTTAATATTTTATTTGCATACGAGAACATAAAGTGCAAAACCAACAGCAGAAAAGGGCAGGATCGTAGTTTTGTAGTGGTGACCAGCGAATGAGCCCAAAGCAGTTTTGGCAGTATTAACAACTGTGAAAATGTTGATTTAGAAACAGCTGAACAGTTCACTCTATATAATAATGTATGCAGCAAACTATCTGAAGCCTGTTAGAGGTTTGAATCATTTGCTGACTTTCTATGTAAGCTCAGGATAATGAAGATGCTTTAAAGGGGAGAAAACACCACAGTTGCCTTTAGGGTCACAATCAGCCCTCGATGCAGTAGCTACATGTAGTCTAGCCAATAAGAATGCTAACTTTTGTACAAATGTGTTTGATTTTTTTTCCTTTTATTATTTATTCAAAAGAAATGTTAAATAAAGTGGCTCAAAAAGCTCCGATGTGCGGTCCACTTCCTTGTTCAAGAACTTGGAACCACCACCTTACAGTCCTCGTCCGTCTCCACGCCAACCTCTTCCTGTAGAAGAACAAAGCTTGGAGGATTTGTTTTTCCATGTAGGAAATGTGATGTTGCTTCTTCAGCTCACCAGGAACTCCTTTTTGCTCTTTGGATATCCCTCCAGGATGGCGTTCATCATCTCTGAAGCCTGACAGACCCAAATAATTATTAAATGCTCGTTGCTGAAAACGTATCTGGTGTGAAGGCATTTCTAACTCCAAATGAATACATGTACCAATCTCTTCCTCTTTTTCCACTCCTTCACATAAACCTCTTGCTCTTTGTAAACCTGCAAATGAAAACATGAACGTGTGTTTCAGGGGAAAGCAGACCACCTCGCCAGAACGGAGACTTTATAGGTGCACACCTTCTCCTTCTCCTCTGGTGTGACATGGTTCGTAGCTGACTTGATCTTCTCCACGCGTGCTCTGTGTCCAGAGCACTCCGCTTTCAGCTCTTTAATCTCTGCCACCATCTCTTCTGTAGTGAGCGAACTGTTCAGGCCCTTCAGCTCTGTCATAAACAAGAGTTAAACTCTGGGTCAAGCTGCAACAAGAGGCACCAGTCAGCAGGGTCCTGTACCTGCGTCTAGCTGTCTGCAGCTCTGTGTGAGGGACTGCAGCTCTGCACCAAGCTCTGAGATCTGACCATCCATCGCTTTCAGGTCATCATCCTTTACATCTTTAAACTGATTCTGTTTGCAGAGATTAACAATAGTAGAGTTAGGCATCCCAAAGCATGCTCCTGCCTACAGCAACACAACAAACCTGATCAGCAAAGTAGATCTTCTGCTTGCCATATATTTTCTCCTTTATTTTGCCCTCCTGAGCAAGCAGCTCCATGGCTTTGACCACCGCCTGTTGGGTGAATATAGTCCAACAATAGAGCAATGGCTACACAACACCAGCCCGAGGAGCGGATCTCACCGTTTTGCCCAATCCATGCTGCTTCTGCAGATTACAGAAGACGTCCTGAGCGCTGTAGGGTCGGTTCTTCTCGTTTAGGTAGGCAAGGATGACTGCCGCCCCTACGACAGCGATACATTATGATTTATAAATGGTTTCTTCCTACACAACAAAAACTCAAATCCGTAGGTGTTTAGCTAACGTTAGCTGGATGCTAACCGAGCTAAGCGGTCATTTTATTCCCGACGAGCTCAAACAATCGTTGCCTGCTCTTGTTGGATGTCTTAAAAGTCAAATACGTCGCTTAAATCTAAGATATTCTATAATAAAGATCACCCTAAACATACCGTTATCTTTTTTACTCATTTCAACCTGTCCGTTCTCACGTTAGCTGCCCTGATGTTGAGTTTCGCGCAATAATTTGCGTCACGCTAAAGATCGTTTATAAATGAGGATATCTCACTCTGACAGGAAAAGTTTCTCGGAAAAACCCAGATTTCATTTGTTGCCTTTATTTTTCAATATAAGCATTTTTATTTATACTTAGCTAATGTTGTACACATTATTTGTATCTTCAGCAGTTCTTTTCCATTATGTTTGCGTGGTTTCCAAAACAAAGTGAGACCCCTGTCATTTTGACTAAATCTTAATTTGTTCTAAGTGATAAATAAGGTTTAAAGAGCAAGTCACCCCCAAATAAACTTTTTTTTTTGCTGATAAACTAAATAAACGAGTGTCTAATCGTGCTGCAGACACGTGTCGTCAATAATTTGGCATTTCAGTGCATCTTAGTTAAAATTTAAATATTCTGCCTAAAACTGGCAGTGTTGTGCCGTTGTCAGGTAAAAACTCTGCACTGTATTTTAATTTAAATCTGCCACCGCTATTGGCTAAGAGGTATGCTATGATGTAAACTGGTATGATGTCACAATGCTGTCGTGAGCCTGTGTGTGTGTATTTGTTAGCAGCTCGGCCTTCTCGGTCTGCCAGGCAACAGCATTTGTTGCATTTTTCAAACATGAAGTGGGAGTGAAGTAAGTTTCTTGTAGGGGTTGACTTGCTCTTTAAATGTCACACGCATTATTATTATTATTATTATTATTATGAGACAAAAATCTTTGCAAACATTTTATTCAATGCAGTTTCAAAACATCTGCAAACCAGACAGAGAAATCAGCACTAAGCACATCACAGGATCACCTCTGCTGAAGATTTGTTAGACTTTTCATGAAGCAGCTTGGAAGATTCAGACTGAATCCTACAAAGGGAACATTTTAGGTGTCAGCAAGATTCCATCAGTGCAGCTTTTTACACCACACAGCTGTATTATGCTGTGGTAAAAATCTTGCAAACTCATGAAAAACAATAATAAAAATAACTAAAGAAAGATTAATGTGGTTTTCTATTAAAAACAGAATTTTAGACTCGATATTTGGATTTCAATAAAATCTTAACTTAATATTTTTTGGTTTAAAGTGCCATTTCCTCTTTCTTATTTATTGAAGAATCAGGCTGATCAGCTCAAAAGAAAGCATTTATAGATGAACAACTAAAACATTTTTTTAATCCAAATTTGATGTAAACATGGGTCAATTTAACAATACGCTCTAACAGAGAATTTGATGACGATCCCATAAAGTTCAGCCTGGCTGTTGAATCCATCAAAAATGATCCAATTTAAAGTGATTTGATCTGATCTGGGATTTCTTTACAAACGAGAAACACGTCATAGAGACAGCTCGTGCAGGGACAGCCAAACTAAAAATAATCAACACTATTTCCACACATTCATAAATATACTGCACAAATATAACAGTACTCTGCTGGTTCAGGTAAGACTGATGTGGCCGACTAAATAAGCTCCCAAAGACAGATGTTTGCTTCTGTAATCAGAAAAACAAAACAGCGGAGTCATCCTGACAATTCAAATTTTTATGCAGATCAGTGAAATTTTAGAAAACACAACAGCTAACAAGAGTTTAAAAGCTAAAAGCTCTGAAAACATGCAACATAAAATAACCCCCCCTCTCATAAGAGGACAGAAACGTCCCACCACTAAATCCCATCTCAAAGGTTTGATAACTGGTTCATGAAGGATCGACGACTCCAGCAATGACTGAATGCACTTTAACATTAAAAGCTCCTTCATGCTGTCATTACTCATCAAAGACGGCTCAGGTTAAGCAACAGGAATGTCACATTTGGTCCTACAATAAAAAGCCCTGAAGGTCAAGTCCTCTGTGTAAAAAAAGGTTTCACAGGGCGGATCTGTGTGTTCTGGGTACGAACAATGCCGTGTACCCAAATGTGTGATGTAGTTTACTTTGTTTTTGTGTTTCCTATTGCTCAGCCTACAACCTAAAAACTCCATCATCAAGAATTCAAACGTATAAAACAAGGATTTAAAAAGAGGAGAATGAAATACTTCACAGTGACTTACTGATGCCTACCAGAAGCAGGGCTGCTGGAACCTAAAATCACCTCACACGCACACACACACGCGCGTGCGCGCACGCACACACACACACAATCATCATTTTACACTCTACCCACATAACTGCACACCCTCAGCAAAACACACACACACACTTCACTGTGGTTTACCAAGCAGGCTGGAGAAGAAGTTAGACCCCTGGCTGTCACCCCGTCTAGAACCCCCCCCTCCGAAGGGATCCATCTGGTTCAGTTCAGACTGATCCAGCATTTCAAAGTCTTCTGCATCCAAGTCCGTGTCAAACTCAGAGCTGGACTGTTTGCGGTAGCTCCGGTGGCCCCCGACCTGAGGGTGACCTTGCCTGCGTTGAGTGGTGGGAGGCCGAGGTTGCATTGCGCCCGCCAGCGCTGCCTGAATCATGTTGCTGGCAATGACTCCAGCCAAGTCTCCACTGATATCTGAGACAGGTGGAAGACCGCCGAGAGAAAGTTCTGAGTCCAGATCCTCCTGATCCGAGTCCAGATGAGCATCAACATCCAGCACTGAGGCCCGGTGACTAGCAGGTCCAGACAGACCCAGACTGGGCAGTCCGATGCTTGTGTCGTCTTCATCATCCATCAGGGTGGCATCGGGGTTAATGGATGGGAAGTCTGGGAGGTCTTGGGCAAAAGATTCTTCTGCGTCACTGTGTCTGTCGAGATCTGATCAAATGCAGACAGAAAGACGTCAGAGGAGAGATCAAAAAAGAAGATCAAGCAACAAAAAGCAGGAGCCTCACCTTCAGAGCCCTCTGTGAGCGGGGTCTGACCTCGCGACAGGTTGAATGTCCCGTTATCAGTGTAGGACACCTCGGCATCGGAGTGTTCAGAGTCGGTCAAGGCAAGTTCTTTTGCAACAACAGCATCATCAAACTGGAAGACAAAAAAAAGAGTAACATATTTTTAATTTCCTGTGTTAGACAAAAGTAAAAAATCTTTACGCTTCTTTTCTATTTCCCTCTACCATAAGAAATGCTTTCGGTTTTATGTCCTCCCTGTTTGCTCTCACAGACTTCAGCATAAACAAAAAAGCAGTGGCAAGCCAACCACAACAGGAAAAGTGCTTGATGTGCTACTGTAACCAGAGGTGTGCTAAAGGACAAACCAAGAGATGTAGAGGAAACGCTTGGTATTAGATCAATGCTGCGCTTTAGGTTGTGCTAAATACTGAATAAACTGAAAGGGTAACAGACGTATTATTGCTGTTTCTATTGTAGTTGAGATGCTTCTGTTCACAAATCAGAAAAACTCAACTTGAATATAAAGGTTTAAGGAACTTACAGTTGGGCAGAAAGCAGCCAACTCCTCCTCACTGTCGCTGGCTTCACCCGAGGCTGCACTGCGGATCGGCATTCGCAGGACTGGAAAGTTTAGATGAAGCAGATAAATAACTCATTATTGCCCTTAGGCCCTTATAACATGTTCCAAAACCAAACTAACAATACACACAAAGCTCTGCGGAGTTGCACTGAATTTATAGAACAACAAACAATAATAAAAAGCAGCTTTTCTCATCACATCCTATCAGATTTTGAATTATGAACAACTAAATCATCCTTTTAAGACTCTGGACTGCTGTTGCATTCAGTTTCTATATGAAATAAACCCAGAAAAAAAAACAGAAGTAAAACTAATGTGACTCTAGCAATTAAACAACAAAGTGCCTCAGACAAAATGGCAACAGGAAAGTTCTTCTAGCAAAACAACATATCTGTTTAATAAAACTGAACATCTTTTTACGGCCACCGGAGGGCGCTAAAGAACCAGCCATTACAACAGAACAGCCTGCCAACTATCAGTAAATGAAAAAAAAACTTCTTGCTGAAATGTTAAAAGTGAGAAACGACGAGTTTCTGATCAAATCTAACGGATCTGATTGGTATTATAAAATGAATAACAGGGCTAAACATGTTTCTGTGACTTACATTGGTTGTCGATGGGCTTTGACATCATGTATCCACGAACGCTGAAGTCCAGCCTCTGCAGGGCTGGCTCCAGCTTCGCACACACACCCTGGAAAACCCTGTGATAGGCACCCAGAGGGGCCAGGAGGGTGGCTAGCACTGGAGTCAAAAGGAAAAGAGCACAAATGATGCAAAAAAAGAGAAAATTATGTTTAGCAAACCAAATATGTGTTTTATACGGTGTATGTGCGTACTTGTTCATATTACACCTGTATATTGTCTATCTAGCCTCACGTTTTCATTCTGCTCTCCTTGAACAAAACCTATATGAACATAATCCCTCCTAAACGCACACTCGACACACCACATTTTCTGGTATTGCACTAGATGCTAGACTGTATTTGTCTCCTTGTTTAAAGCTAAATCTAATCTAATGTAAGCATGGACACAGGACTATTAGGCTTGGATTGGTGCCCCATGCTGAGCTCGGAGGTCTACACTGGCTGAAGGTTAGGAGATTAGTCCACTCTACGCCTGACCTCCTTAGCTTTAAGCCCGACTCCCTGCTCTCCTTCTCTCCCTTCTTGTGTGTCTCATCCCGGCTTTAATCACCACATGGAGCAGAGCCCGGTACCAAGGCCCAGCAGATCTGGTTTCAACACCCATGCATTTTTAAACACACTAGTCGGGCTGAGTTTCCCTGCCAACACAGCCTTCTGTAGTTAGGACCAGCTAAACTGCTGGGACTCACAGGCAGAGTAGGAGAGCACCAATCCAGGGACGTAGTTTCCAATCAGAGCCAAGCAGGAGAACACGCCACAGGTCATGATGCAGAACTGTCACAGAACAAGACACGTGTGGGCAAAGGTCAGAACAAACCAAGAGTGCCAACAGTAGAGTGTTTGTTCAGAGCTTAGGGAATCTTGATGGATTAATAATTTGTAGAGTCATGATGAACGGGTTAATCCAAATAAGGGTGTGAGTAATCTGTAGGTAAAATGGTTTATAGTATGCAGTGCTCACATTGCCAGGGTTTTGACGTTTGTATTCCATCATATCGGATCTGAAAACCGATGCACTGACCCAGGCCTCTGCAAGGTGGTGGCACAGCTCAGGCACGCTGAGGACACCGGGCTGTACCAGACCCCAGCTGCACAAACAGATACGATTCCTTCAGATTGCCTGTTGTGTTATACGGTGATGTCAGAGTAACGGCTGATTTTAGACGACGTTCACTGACCTCTCATTTTCTGATTCATCCAGCTTTCTGACTGTGGAGAGAGGACAACCGCTTTCAAAACCTGCCTCAAGCATTAGGACTTAATATAAACCAACAAGAGTGCAGAAAGTAACCAATAGCACGTGTTAGTTTGATTATTGTTAATGTAGAAAGTCTGAGTTTTATCAAATCTATTCGTGAAATAGTGTTTCTCAAAGTTGTGGGAGGAAATATATAATCTTAAAAAGGAAGAGCCCCTATTGAAATAAAGTGCAGCACCTCTGATCTCTGGCCAGATCCTATTCCTCCAGGTATCAACAACTACAAGCACAGCGAGGCCAGACGCCAGCAGGAACAGCAGGCGCAGTGACGTTAGGGCAAAAAACCTAGAGGGAAATAAAACATACAAACAGATATTTCATCTCTGAACTGTTCCCTTTGGATTCAACAAAGAATTATGGACACAACTCTACAGAATACACCAAACAGCAAAAAAAAAAAAAAAAAAACCTTCTGTTCTAGAATAAAGAAAGAGGTTTTCACCCAGTCAGATATTTTACATCTTCTCCTGACGGGAAAGGTGACAGTTCAGATCAGCTTTGATCGATAAGGATCTTTTCTAATCTGATGAAAATGCTACAGTTGATACGTGTAATCTGTATTAAGAAGCGCTGTCAGAAGTCCCATTATTTTGCCACTGCTCCAGTTTGAGATCACAAGACTTTAGAAATGTCTGGACCACAATAACGCTGCAGAATTCTGCCAATCTTGGGAGATTATCCTCACCAAGAGGACATCAGCAGGTCACAAGGTATTAGCATTTAGGTTAGTGGTGGTAACAGTAACAAATGTAAACAAAATGTGCAAATTCTCTTGTTGAGCCCTAGCTTAAGATCTGAAGCAACGCAACTCTTAATCTACTAAAAAAAACAATCCCACAGCAAAAATGGGAAAACAAGATTATCTGTGGTGACTAATTGGTTAGAGTTAGGCTATTAGGGTTATTGTGGATAAACCATGACCCAACATTATGTTTCTGCAGGAACAGTTAAATTCGATGATTCGATAATTAGGACCACCACGTTATCTACCATCAGTGCAGAATTAACTCGACAGGTGAAGCTCTTGGATCGTGTAAAAGCACCAGCTGATTGCTGGCATGATCTCCAGTCAAACTCAGTACTGACAGATTTGCAAGAAAACAAGAAAACCCACCAGAACACTACGTTGATAACAATGTAGAGCAGAATGCTATGAAGAGGTCTTTCCCACACCAGGACGGACTGTAGATAGGTGAGATGGGGCTCGTTTGGGCCCAGCTTGGAAAGAAGAATGGCTCTGACAGCCCGAACCCGACCATCTCTCTCACTGGAGCTTGACCGAGTTCGCAGGCAGACCCCGGACCCCTGCTTGGCAGATCCATCCTCCATGGATCCCGCTTCTGTTGCTCCAGTGTGCGCCATCTTAGCGTCAACTGTTCATGGAATCAACCTGTAAAGTAACGATAAAAGCGAAGAGGAAACAGGTAAACAGATTAAGAGGGTTACCACAGCGGTCACAACACCTTTGCTAACGGATGGACTAACAGCGAGACACGCCAGCTGAAATACTGTCTCACTGTCCACAACTATACGTCTTGATACATTAAAAATAAGCATGTTAACTAAAGCTATAGTTAGAACATTTAAGAACAAGCTGACACCTACTATACTGTCATTTTTAACCAGAAATGTAGCGCTCCGTACTCTTCAAAACCTGTAAATATGGCGTATCCTGTTTTTCCGACTGCTGAACGGTCCAATCGGAATTGGCCTAACCTGCTGCGTCATGGTGCGTTTAATGACACCACGGCTTGTTTTTGTGCCTTTCATAAAAACAGCAGTTGTTATTCCAGAAAATGATTTTTCAATTAAACTACATATGTAAACTCATTCCATTTCAACACTTTATTCAAATAAAAGCGAAATCTGTTTCTGAAATATATAATGTTCTGCGTTTTGGATTGGCAAAGTTGTTTAGTTTGAAAACACTGTGGCCCACTATCTTCTTCCAGCACAACAGATGGCAGCAACCAAATTAACTTGCAGAGGCAAATTAGAAGCGTCAGTTCAGTGGGTCTGCTCCATTTATATTGGCAGACTTCACAGCGACACTCCTTCGATGAGTATTCGTGGTTGTTTATACGGCTCATGCTTCGGTAATACGTAAAGGAGTGGACATAGTAACAAGCGGGAAGGAGCGGGCTAGGAGTGGTTTAGCGGTGGGAACTATACATTTAGCCGTGTATTTAGCTAATAAACAGGCTAGCTAAATAGGGAGCAAATAAAGAGCGATCATGCCGCGGGAAATTATTACTCTTCAGCTGGGACAATGTGGAAATCAAAGTAAGTTACGGTTAAATGTTTCCAACCTTCTACTCAAACGGAAGCGATTCTGTTAAAACAGGCTAGCAAACATCCAGTGTTATTGTAACCTAGCATAATAATGGCGAATTCTTATTGATGGTAACGAGTTAACGTTAGCTAGCAGTGTCAGTCAGTCAGCAAATGTCTCTGTGTTTGTGTGTTTCCCGTTGTCTTTTAACTCAGCATGTTCACGTTTCCACCTCTGTTTTGCAGTTGGATTCGAGTTTTGGAAGCAGCTGTGTGCAGAACATGGCATCAGCCCGGAGGGCATTGTGGAGGAGTTCGCCACTGAAGGGACTGATAGAAAAGACGTGTTTTTTTATCAGGTAGTTGGAGCATACATTTTTATATTTTATCATCTGTTGATGTGAAATTATAGAATTAGTTAACCCCCTGACGAATGTCAACACGAGGATACGCTTCCTTAAAACGTTTAAACCAAGACAACTTCTTACAAAGTCCTCTCAGCCAAGAAGACACATTGTACATGGTGGTTTCTAATAGGGCTGCAAGATGTTTGGAAAACCAGCGATGCGCGATAATGCTGATTAATATTGCAATTGCAACATGACTTGTAATAAATATCTACTTAACTCAAGAACAAAAAAAATTAAAAATGACTAGATAGATATCATAAAATTGGGAAAAGCAAAAATTGTGATCAAAAGATGTGAGGAAAGGGAAAAGAGTGAACAAGAAAAGGCAATCATGGGAAAAGCAGAATTGGCAGAAAGAGTAGAAGGAAGCTAATTCAGGTTATTCACCATTCAACTGCTTCTCCCCCACCACCAACTCCCCTCAGCACCACACTCCCCCCCCTCTTTTGCATCTGACCAGGTGAGGAGAGAACTGAGGCAACTTAAGAACAGAAAAGCAGCAGATCCTGACGGGATCAGCCTGCTCAAAGACTGTGCTGACCAGCTTTGTGAAGTGGTCACACACATGCTCAACCTGAGCCTTCAGTTGGAGCAGGTCTCCATCCTGTGGAAGAATTCCTGTGTGGTTCCAGTTCCCAAAACATCACATCCTCGAACTAGACTATTACAGACCAGTCTCCTTGACCTCCCATTTATGAAGACTAGAGAGACTCATCCTCACCCATCTACGTTCAGTGGAGAGCCTGGAAATAGAGCCACTGCATTTAGCATATAAACCAAACATTGAGGTGGAGGACGCACTCATCTACCTGCAGCATCAGGCTTTGACTCACCTTGAGATGCAAAAATGCACTGAGAGAATCATGTTCTTTGACTACTTAATTGCCTTCAAAACCATCCAACCACGTCTACTGCAGCAGAAGATGAGGGGTACAGGAGTGGACGAACATCTGATTGTATGGACATCAACTACGTCACCAACAGACCACAGTACGTGAGGCTGCACAACTGTACATCTGAGGTGGTTGTGTGCAGTACTGGAGCTCCACAGGGTACAGTGCTCTCTCCCTTTCTATTCACCTACTACACCTCGGACTTCACCTACAACCCCAGCAGCTGTCACCTCCAGAGGTTCTCTGATGACTCGGCCATTGTCAGCTGTGTCTGAGGGGAATCAGGAGTACAGGTCAGTCATCATGGACTTTGTTGACCGATGTGAACATAATCACCTTTGCTTGAACACCAGTAAGACAAAGGAAATGGTGGTTGACTTCCAGAGAAACACTCCTCCTCGCTCACCAGTAAAGATCCAGGCAGCAGACAGTCACCTCAACAGCAAACTGAACTGGTCCAACAACACAGATGCTCCTTATAAGAATGGCCAAAGCTGCCTCCGCCTCCTGAGGAGGCTGAGGTCCTTCAGAATTAATCCCCAGCTGCTAAAATCCTTCTATCACTCTGTGGTTGGATCTGTTAAACACTCTGCTGTGGTCTGTTGGGGTGCAGGCAGCTCTGACCGAGACAGGAAGAGACTGAGCAAGCTAGTTTACAAAGCTAGCTCAGTTCTGAGCTGCCCACTGGATTCAGTTGAGGAGATGTGTGAAAGGAGGATGCTGGGGAAGATGACCACCATCTTAAAAAAAAAACTCCCACCCACTGCATTCCACTGTGGAGACCATGGTCAGCTCCTTCAGAGGCAGATTGAGACATCCCAGATGTAAAACAGAACGCTACCGTAGGTCATTCATCCCCTCTGCAGTGAGAGTGTATAACTCCTCAGTCTAAGCTGTACTGGCATTATCCTGTTACACAATAACACCAATGCAATACTCAGTATGTGTTCAATACTTGTGCAATTTTACATAGTTTATTACATAGATATACATAGTACGTCTGTGTCCCTTACAGTATGCTGCAAAGTTCTGGAACCCACGTTTTTTTTTTGTTTTTTTTTTTTGGGGTTTTCAAGTCAAACTTTATTTATAAGGCACATTTCATACAGTTGATGCAGCTCAGAGTGCCTTACAGATTAAAATGACCCTTTTGTGCAGCCCTAGTTTCTCATATATGAACGGATCATCTTATAGTTAGAAAACGTGAACATTTACTTTATAAATAGCAGTTTATGAAGTAAAAAAAAAGAAGAAAGAACTCATTGTATATCCAATATATCTCATTCTGCTACGAAGTTTGTGGCTCCTAATTTCCTTTTTTGTCTTTGTTCCGTGGCACAGAAATGGATTTGAGAGGAAAGTCTTTGTTTGTTTTTGATATCGGATGCAGCTGAAGGGGGCATAAAAAAGGGAAAATCTTAAATATCTTTCCACACATATTTTTATTCATCTAAGTAAATATTTTTCTGTAACAAAACATTGGTCACAGTGAGGCTGTGTCAACCATTAATCCCTCCAGTTTAAAATGACTGATCAGAGTGTGGATTATGTTCTTTTTCCTCTTCTGTTGCTTCATCACGGCTTGCACACACTTCACATCAGCTTAGAGAAATCCAAGCATGAAATTTAGAAATAAAGCAAGGAAAGTGTGATTCTATATAGTGATTGTTGCGAGGTGCACCACTGTTATTTGCCACCAGATGGCGTCTTTGTAACCTGGGACAACCAAGCAGCTGTTCTTGCGTGCATGGATGGATTGAGAACTATCACCGTCTAATTCCTGGTTTAAATCAACTCCACAGGCTGATGACGAGCACTACATCCCTCGTGCTGTTCTTCTGGATCTTGAGCCCCGTGTCATCCACTCCATCCTTAACTCCCCCTATGCCAATCTGTACAACCCAGAGAACATCTACCTGTCTGAGCATGGCGGAGGTGCTGGGAACAACTGGGCCAGTGGATATTCACAGGTCATCACCAGGAACATCAACTTTGATTTGATCCAAATGAAAGCCGAGGACTAATTTGTCGTTTTCATGTTTTGTTCCCCAGGGCAAAAAGATTCAGGAGGACATCTTTGACATCATTGACCGAGAGGCAGACGGGAGTGACAGCTTGGAGGCGAGTTTATCACACGTCACGTTGCAGCTTTGTTTTGGGGTTGGATTAGCGTGGTGTGTGGTTTTAAAATAAAGCTGAATAAGTGTGAGGCAGGATTAGGGTGGCTTTGTAGTGATGACATCACTAATTTGATAAATTTTTACATTGTTTAGAGCTTTTTGTTTTTAAATAGTGATGTTCCCATGGTCACTTTACATCTTTTGATTTTAATTCCATTTTTGTTTCTTTTTTTAAAAACACAGAAAAGGTTTCTCTTTACCTTGCTGACGGTTTCGTTTGTGGCTGCAAACATCCTCAGAGCTGACGCTGATGGTGGCGTCACTTCCTACTCTGCTTAAAGATCTTTAGAGTTTGTTTTGTATCCTAATGGACTAGATGTATTACTAGGGGTGTATTTAGCATCCTTTTTCTTTCACTTGTCATTTTCGGTCTTTCCTCTGTGAATTTCTGAGTCTTTCTGTGACGTTTTGCGGGTTTGGTTCACAATAAGCTGAATTATCTGACTGAATTCTACCACCGTTTATCTACATTTACTCAGACGTGACTTATTTTAGTCACGCAAACCGTTGCTTCTTTGTTGTGGTGATCAACACACGGAACTGAATCAACTAAATGAAAACAACGTGTCCAAATGGTGCCAGAGTCTGGCATTCTAAAACCAGAACAGCTCTGACCTTGCCTTTATTATACTTAGCTCCGTTTTCTTTTTTTTCCTCCTCCTTCTGAACTCAATTGAGCTTCCAGCCTCTCATAAAATAACACTCACATTTCCCCTCAGAGGTCTGCAATTTCTGGTACTCCTTCACATTATAATCCCACATTATTATTGAGTGTGTGCTCTCATGTGTGCTGTGCATAGAAGGTGGGCCCAGCTGCTGTTGGCATGTGTATGTTAGCAGGGTGTGGCGTGTAGCGTGTCTGGTGATAATAGCCGGGCGAGTGTTGAAGGCAGGTATTACAGAGCTTTCTTGGGGGGTGGGGGGCAGCAGCAGCAGCGAGGAAGCCCCATTTGTGAGGTGGGGCAGTGCTACCATTTATATAACTGTTTAGGAAGCGAGGCATTTGCTCACCCACACACTTCTCTGCACCAGTGCACTTTACTGTAAGCTTCACACACGTGTGGCGTGTGCTGCAGCACGCTAACAAGTAACCCTTGTGTGTTCACAGGGATTCGTCTTGTGTCATTCGATCGCTGGGGGGACAGGCTCAGGACTGGGATCGTATCTGCTGGAGAAACTTAATGACAGGTCCACCAACAGAATTGCAGCGTGCTCACTTAGGGTTTAGCTTGTGATCTGGTGTGTGTAAATAACACATTTCCTGCTCTACAGGTACCCAAAGAAGCTGGTACAGACATACTCTGTCTTCCCAAACCAGGATGAGATGAGCGACGTGGTTGTTCAGCCGTACAATTCGCTGCTCACGCTGAAAAGGCTCACCCAGAATGCAGACTGCGTGGTGAGCAGCACTCCAGAGGGGATTAAGGCTGATTAATACCAGCTTTCAATTAAATGAATAAATATGCACAGGAAACCAGGATATAAAAATGTAGTCATACTGCCAGGAAGTAACGATGTGATGCCAGAAGTTTGACCTTTTTGTTCTAACATCAATAAAAGGCATCATTGTTAATAAATAGTGTGGACACCAAACACACAAACATATCTATCTAAGGCATTTAGAACAGATTGATTAGAAAACTTGTAATTCTTTAAAGGTGTGGAACACAGAAAAAAGATTTTTAATTATTGCTGGTTATAATCAGTCACTCTGAGCTTTTCATGCAGGCTGAACGTGAAAATAGTCTCCTACATCAATCTCCTGCATTAGCTTCTGATAGAAAATAGACGGTGAAACTCTAGGACTAGAAAACCCTGACAGATCTACGTCACTCTGTCTCTTTACATTCATGGACTCGCCCATCTTGACTCCCGATGGGGAAGGCTGCTGTTGGTCTAGCGTCCAGGAAACGGTAGAGAACGTCTCAGCTAATAGAAGCTAACTGTTAGCATTAGTGACTCCACCACACAGCAGAACTCCTCCAGGCTTGTGTTATTTGTGAAGATAAAACATAAACGTTGCAGAGCAAACAATTGGTGGTAGAGTGGTGTTGCTGTTACCCAATCAGAGGTGAGATGTCCAAATATCAGGTAGAAGACTCCCTATCCTGCTGTCTTCTGCTTCCCTCTGCTCTGGCTCACTTGTAGTTCCTGAAACTGTAGCGCCAGAGCTTTTGTTCCCACAGAGCGACTCACAAGGTGTTCATTTATATAACGAGACCACTGTAAATCTATTGAAAACTTTGTCTTTAAATCTGTTTTCCTTTTGGTTACAATCCTGATGTACCAGCTACTCTTTCTGATGATGCTTCGTTTCTCATTTAAATACAAGCTCATCACTAATTACAGTCATTCGTATCTCCGATTCCTGCATCGCCCGCTCGTTACTGGGACCATCGCTACACCAACATGTGTAACTCGGGTCGATACCTGGTGATTAAAGTCTTCTTTTGCTCCACTGAATTATGAAGGAGCTGAGTTTAGCTTGCCGTTTTCAGCCGTAACTTTTTCCTTGTAGAGAACAGCTTCTCCACTGCTGGTGACACAAACAGCAGTGGCAGTGCTGAGTAAAGCCCAGGAAATCCAGCTTATTGAATTTTACTCTTAAATATGTGATTGCATTAGCCAGAGACGCACTGGCGCTCTAATAGCGTTTCCTCTTTAATACCTTCTTCCTCCAGGATCTTGCATAAGGACCTCATGTTGATTGAATTAGCCTGAGAGCTAATAGTCAGCACTGAGGACCCGTCCCCCTGTTGCGTCTCTAGTCTGCCATTTATGTTCAGTTCTCCTAACAACAGCACACTGTGAGGTTTGATTTCTTGGCGGCATCGTTGCTGTGATGTTTTCTCTGACGTTTATGAACAGTAAACCAACTCTTTCCTGTCTTCAGTTGTCTGATAGCTGCTGTTTTCTATCAGGTGGTGCTGGACAACACGGCCCTGAATCGCATCGCCACAGACAGGCTGCACATCCAGAATCCTTCCTTCTCTCAGATCAATCAGCTGGTGAGTGAGAGGAGTCATCAATGCTGCGCTCCTCCCCGTAAATGAACAAGAGGATATGTTCAGACATGCACGCTGCAAAAAATGAGCAAACAAGTTCGGTGGGTTGGTTTAGGAACAGATGGGAGGGTTGCAGCTTTCCTAGAAACGACCCTCCCATGGCTGCACTTACCATTTGCCTACTTGGCAAGTATTAACTGAAAACATTTTCAGGCTTGGAGATTAACTTTAACCCTCCCACTGTCCTAATGGGTGTGACCCCGCGAGGAAAGTTGACCATTGAGCAGGCTTGATGGTTTATCCCTTGAGGACCATGTGGCAGGGGTGAGGAGTGAGCATCACCTCACCCCTGCCACATGGTCCTCAAGGGATAAACCATCAACCCTGCTCAATGGTCAACTTTCCTCGCGGGGTCACACCCATTAGGACAGTGGGAGGGTTAAAGTTAAAGAGCAAGTCACCCCCTACCAGAGTATTACTCCACTCCCACTTCCTGTTTGAAAAAGGCAACAAATGCTGTTGCCTAGCAGACAAAAAGGGCGGAGCCGCTAACAAATACACACACACACAGGCTCACAACGACATTGTGACATCATATGGTACCAACTAACATTCTAGGGTACCTCTTAGCCAACAGCGATGGCAGATTTTAAATTCAACTGCAGTGCAGAGTTTTTACATGACAACAGCACAACACTGACAGTTTTAGGCAGAAAATTAAAATTTTAACTAAAATGCACTAAAGTGCCAAACTATTGACGACACGTGTCTGCAGCACGATTAGACACACATTTATACAGTTTATCAGAAAAAAAAGTTGATTTGGGGGTGACTTGCTCTTTAAAAGGACACTTCATTTAAATGCAAAAATGCACTCACGGTTCTTAAGTGGTATTGTTTTGAAATCTACGTTTAAATCCCTTCATCTGAAATGTAGTTTGGTCCCGACTTCTCCTTGTTGCCTGTGATTTCATTCATGTAGGTTTCTACAATCATGTCTGCCAGCACGACCACTCTGAGATACCCAGGCTACATGAACAATGACCTTATCGGTCTGATCGCATCGCTCATCCCCACTCCTCGACTCCACTTCCTCATGACTGGATACACGCCACTCACCACTGACCAGTCGGTGGGCGATAAAACTTCCATTACTAAAGGTTTATAGGATGTAAAGACGGAGATTCATAATCCAGCTGTTTTTCAGGTTGCTAGTGTGAGGAAGACCACAGTTCTGGATGTGATGAGGAGGCTTCTGCAGCCCAAGAATGTGATGGTGTCCACAGGAAGAGAGAGGCAGCCTAGCCACTGTTACATCGCCATCCTCAACATCATCCAGGGAGAGGTTGACCCCACGCAGGTGTGTCACGTTCACTTTGTGTTTTAGGGCTTAAATTATATTGGTTTAATTTTAAACCTTTTTTGTGACCGACTGCTCTTTAGGTGCATAAAAGCCTCCAAAGGATCCGCGAGCGCAAACTTGCCAACTTCATTCCCTGGGGACCCGCCAGCATCCAGGTGGCTTTGTCCAGGAGATCCCCGTACTTGGCCTCAGCTCACAGAGTCAGCGGCCTGATGATGGCAAACCACACAAGCATCTCCTCTGTAAGCAGTTTTAAACCTTTAGTTGATTCTCCTGGTGTGGGGCTGCACTGAGATGATGGTTCGTCTCTGGTCATACTTAAGGGGGGGGGGGGGGGGGGGGATAAATGGTTACTCTAACAAATTAGACTTCTGAGTTTTTTTTTTTTTTTACTTCCAGTGAAAAATGGAAACTTAAAGCCTTTTTAAGTCCTCTGATTCAATGCTTCAGAGGGCATTTCCTAGCTGGTTTAGCCCAGACACAGACTGAGCTTTGGTTCTCCTTACAGTGTGTGTGAATGACTGAGGCCCTGTCCACACGTAGCCGGGGATCTGCCAAAACGTAGATATTTTTCTACGTTTTGGCCTGTCATCCACACGAAAACGGAGTTTTTTCACACGAAAACGGAGTTTTTTAAAAACTCCGGCCAAAGTGAAGATCTGCGTTTTCTCCGTTTTGGGTGTCTGCGTGTGGACAGACAAAACCGGAGTTTTAAGGTCCGCAACGTCACTTTCCGTGACAAAAAAATGCTGACATCACGTGTGCGACCTGTGTTTACACTAGCCGACAGCATGGATGCCCTCAGAGCTGCGCTCACTTTATCAATTGTCCAAGCACTTTTTGCTTGTTTGTTTTTGCAAGCGGAATTACTGCTCCTTGCGGAAGACCACAGACGAAGGGCGAGGTTAAGAACGGGGGAAGTGCTGCCGCCTACAGGTCTGGCATGTCCTTAACAACGTATTTATCCGGGTACGTGTGGACAGTTTTTTTTTAAAGCGAGGTGGTGTGGATGCAAGTTTTTGGAGGGGCTGATATTCGTTTAAAAAAAAAAAACCCGGCTACGTGTGGACTAGGCCTGAATGTGCTGTGAAGCACTTTGGGGGTTGTAGAACCCTAAGAAGGTGCTATACAAAAACAGGACATTTACCATTTAACAGATGAAGAAACCAAACTGAAAGAGTTTGGGGATTTTTAAGAAGTCTCAACGGAACTTGAAACTTTCCCGATTTTAATTCTAGTTTTGGTCTTATTTTCTATTCCAGTTGTTCGAGCGAACATGCAGGCAGTACGACAAACTACGAAAGCGCGAGGCTTTCCTGGAGCAGTTTCGCAAAGAGGACATGTTCAAAGACAACTTTGATGAGCTAGACAACTCTCGCGAAGTCGTCCAGCAGCTGGTGGACGAGTACACCGCAGCAACGCGGCCCGACTACATTTCCTGGGGAACGCAAGAACAATGAGCAGACTTTAAACTCGGCTTGGTGCTACAAGGTCTTCTAGATTAGATCTACGTAACATTAGAGTCTCACCTGTTTGGCTGTTGCTGCTTCTGAAAAATATTTAATGGTTTGTTGTAGCGTGCGATTAGTTTTGTCTTTTAAAGAGAAGAAAAGGTGGGGGCTTGATGTAAACACCAACTTTCATCTTAACCAAAGTCTTTAACACCCTGCAGAATCCCATGTAAAGTAGTCCTTCCCTTAATGAACAGCTCAGTGAAAGTACTTTTTATTGCATGCCAGTACTTCAGTAATATTGTGCACAAAATTAATATTCTCTTGTTGGTTATTCTGCCCCACATGTCTTGTAGCCTATAATTTTTCTGCAATGTAAAATTGCCTGTTGCCTTGTTTTGCTCTATTTTTCTACAGAGTACAGTTTAGTTTTGTGGATTTACAGGAACATGCCTATAGAACGACTGTAGGACAGGGAGAGTACATAGCTTTATGGGTAATGTAGGTTTATGCCACGCCTCACACTTCTATCCATCTCTCTGCTGCTGATACGCAGCTCATCTTTTTCATGACCAACAAGAATGTCAAGTTCAGGTTAGACTGATGTTAAAACATCCGTCATTTGAGCTGTGCAAATATGTTTTAAAGAATTTGTCCTCAAAGTTAGTTTCCACAGATAAACATGGTGTATGAGGCTCAAACTGCTGTAAATACTAAGGTTTGGCTCTTTGGGATAATCTGTGTCATTAAAAGTGAATTCTGTTCCATGTTGCTTTGCTTGTTGGACCTGTATGGTGAATAAATCTTTTTTTCTATGAGTATTTTCTCTTTGCTACCTGAAGGCTCCACGTTTTTGGGGAAATCTCACTTTCACTTTTAGTTGAAGACAAACTCTGGTGGAGCTGGCTTTACAAATGCTCATTCATGTAATTCCTTTAAGGCTCATTACATGTGGAGAAAATCTAGGCCCTTACAAATGCTTCCTTAAGAAGATGTAGAGTACAGGGCTGCCAACTTTTGAACATTTCATGTCTGGGGTCATGGGGTTGGGAGCGGACAGTTCGTCGCGAGGATCTGTGGCTGATGAGTGAAAACAAAAGAAAAACATTCGGGACTGAAGCTCCGTCAACACCGGTTGGCGACGCAGCTGCATAAAGTACATCATTTTGGTGGCACGCGCAGCCCAGCTCATGTGGGCCATTCCCACCTGTACCGGGTAAATTCACACCTTCCATTAGAGCAAGCCTCTGATTGGTGGGTAGAATCAGCCCACATGGGCTTAAGGCAAGGATGTGTGGAATCAACTGGGGCTACCCGGGCCGGGCCAACCCGGTACAGATGGGAATGGCCCAATGGTTGTGGGAGAACCGGGCCGGTCCCATCAGCAGCAGGTGGAGCTCACCGCTCCGCCCATCTCACAACCAGAGCGGAAAAAAGCACATCGGCTTGGATTATACAGATGGGATTCTGTGTGTGAAACAATGCCAGTTAAAGTATTACTACGTGTTGTTTGTGTGCATGATGTTCAGTAGCTAATGCTATAATTAACATCATCAGTTGTTTTTTTCATAAGCCCTACACACGTGCATGATGCACGTTTGGGGAGCGCAGGCACTGGTTTAGTGTGAGAGATTGGAGGTGTGGCGTGAGAGCGTGTGAAGAGGGTCAAATGCGTGTGTCTCACGCTCAGTGCGTGAGAGTTGGCAGTCCTACTTGGGTCGACCGATGGGGTAGACGTACTTTTGAGCGGCTGAGTACAAATCTGACTAGTTACTTATGAAATAAGTCCCGTCAGCAAGTGTTGCAATCAGAGCAGACTTAGTCTTGACTGTAAAAGTGAAATACTCCACTGTGTAGTTACCTTTTAGAATTTTTTTTCACAATAGCCCATGTGTCCGAATCCAACATTTTAGAAAAATCAAAGTCCCAGTGTTGAAGAAATTGCTGCATTTTATACTAAGATTTATTGTGAAATAATTAAATATTTGCCAATTTGGACAAATGTACCACATCCAATATTTGGTTAACCTTTAATGTCTAGAACTGATCGAGTTAACACATTTGTGTTGGTTTGATAAGCTCTGGTGACCATCTTGTATTTGAAAGACTTAAATGTTTCAGCTGTAGATGTACATTACTTTCTGAAAGTTTCTTTCAAATCTATCACGTGCTTAATGGCAATTCTTTGCCAAAAGACAGGGTTAAATCAGATGGCAAAGGTAAAGAAGTGTGAAAGTATCAGTGGTAATGAGAGTCATGACTCTACAAGACCCTTTCTGGCTCTTGGGAGAGTACAGACGCTTTTTTCCTCCTCTCCACCCCATTCTTATCCCAAGGCTCTTTGTCTGTCTCTGGGTGTACGGCTGCTTCAACATTTTTTTTTCTGGAAACTGAAATTACTAAAATGGACCTGGTCAGTTGGTCACTTAACGCGATTAACAAAAATTTTTTCAACGATGAGAAGGGGCTTCCGGGTGCCCCTCTAGGACAGATCCAGTTGGGCATATCATGGACTCCTGGAAACAGAGTAACCTGATTTGCCTATCTCAGCTGTCTGTAGAGGATTCTGAAGACGTCTGGATGTTTGTGGTGTTGGTGTCAGGTTTCCTGCTCTTTGGCCTAGAAGGCTTCCTGGCGTACCGGAAAATTAACGAGCTGTCGAGGAATATTGGCGCTCTCCCTGAGCTCAGGGATGGATTACACCGCGCTGTGAATGCACAGACTCATCTAATTGTTGAGATGAGTCGTAAGCTTGGAACTTTGGCTGAGATTCATGCGTTGGCACAAAAGATGGATGCCATCAAGGAGCGAGTGGACGAATCAACACAGATTGGGATAGATACATTTACGCCATTATTGGGATTTTGAGAGGTTGAGGACTGACAGAACTTTAAGACAGAGAGGAAATTATCTCTGTGTGGCCCCAAAACAATTTCTAATCTGAATCTGGTGCAGCTTGAGCCTGTGAGGCTGCAATGAATACTCCCCCCTCAGAAGAAATCTGGAATGCTGCCGTCACTATGGCAACTCTGTCTCCCTATCCCAGCCTGGGAGGGACTGCGGGCTGTGAAGGCCGCTGAATCGTTCCAGGAGTCACTGTGCCCTCCAAACCCCAACGACCTCCCTCCCCTGTCCAGACTGAGGTGACGTGCGCTGCTTATCGTGGCTGCAGTCACTGACGTGTGGAGAGTCCCAAACCCTACCACCCCACCTTGTGGACACTTATGTTGTTTGATATCTGATGTCTGTTGCATAGTCTAAGATGTTTTTTGCAAAGCAAAGCTGCACTCCCTGTGGAGGGTAACTCTGAAGTGCCCTTTTTTTTCTCCACCTGAACCAATCCTCATGTAACCCCTCTGATCTCTATTAAGGTAGCACGACTCAGGGTTGCGAATGACCACAGTCACCAATTCTTGTCATGTGTCTTTGCCTATGTATGTCTGATCTCTGAATTGTGTGTACTGAAACTCTAATTTCCCTCTGGGATTAATAAAGTATCTTTGAATTGAATTGAACAGACCTGGGCCTGACTCAGGCCAGATGCGGTCCAGATCTGGGCTGAATCACACAATAAGGATCGTTATCCGGGCCAGTGCCGGTACAGTTTTGGACCTGATTCAGGAAAATGGATTTGCACCGGTATTGGCCCGGTGTGCTAAAGGACACTGGCCCAGGTTCATTTTGCGGATCTGGGCCAAATGACTTTTGCTATCTTGGTAGGTTTCAGCTCCATCTGTAGAACTGAGTAAGGCTATTTTTGTGTTTGCAAGCTACTGTCCATTAGCTAGCTGTGGCAGCCATCTTGAATTATTTGTAGAAGTGTGTCTGCATATTACTTTCTGAGAGTGTCATTTAAATTGCAGCATTTAACCACAGGACAGTCAAACAAATGCACACACACACGTTTGTCTTTCTATGTTAGTGAGGACCCTTCATTGACTTCCATTCATTTCAGTGACTGACCCATGGTAACCCAACCTCTTCCCCAGTGGCGGCTCCAGAATTTTTTTTCTTCAGGTGCTATGAAGGAGCTAGTCTTTTTGTTGAGGGTGCTATGAAGAAAGTGGTCATGGGTACCTATTGTTCTCTAAAACACCTTCAACACTAGCAGATACACATGCGTGCACAAAACCTCAACAACACCTGAAACAATCATTAATATACATCATAAACATGAACAATCGCTGACTTTTCCATGAAATCATAAACACATACAGCCACACAGAAAACCATCTATAGTGTTGCAAGGTTAGCTAACTTTAGTGCTAGCATTTCCAAAACCCTCGACTGCTGCAGTGGTTGAGGGTTGACTCTCTTCATCCAGATCTGTAGGTTTTTGTGGGTCTGAGATCACTTCCAAAGATTCATTTGTTTCTGACTGAACCCGTGGAAATTTGGGCAACAAAAACCGATCCATTTTACCACTAGCTCTTAGCCTGGCAAGCCAGACTAAATAAATGTATTATTTAGTCTGGCAACGCTCCATTGACGGCTCTCAGTTGTGGGTCGGGTTCTACCGTTGTCTTTCAAATGATCTCCGCATCCTACTGGACAATGAATGTGACATACTCACCGCAACAGCCATCGGTAAATGAGGCGGTCCGCAGTTGAAGGAGAAAACGCATAATTTTTTCTAAAAAAAAAGGCACTTAAATACATCTATCTGCTCCTGATTCTAATGAAGCCCAAGTTCTAATAGTCCAAAATTGATATAAAGCCGTTTCAAACGAGCTGTCGCCATCTTGTTTCACTCTGTTGCATCATCCCACCCACCAGGCATATAGAGTGCCCTGATTGGCCCACAAAGCGGATAAAGATCTGTGATTTGTTCACTAAGCAGATAGAGCACTATGATTGGCCCACCATTATGGACCAATCACAGCTCTTTATGTGTTTGAAACCGCTCTGGAGAGCTGTGATTGGCCAGCCAGAATGCTGATAGGGGCTGCAGAGGTTCCAGTGGAGCGTTCCTAGACCAAACTTTGCAAAGCAAGAATTTGGTCTAGTTCACTAGGCTAACTAGCTCTACCTTTCACTCGTTCGCAGGTGGAAAATGAGGTCAAAGGTTAACATCAATTTCCTGTTTTGGTTTAAGTTTTTACCATCTATATGATAATTTACTGATTATTTTTGTCTTGTATGTTAAATATGATCACATCCACACGTTAAATTAAAATTAAATAGTAAAAAAAAAATCTAATATTTACTTGGGGGTGCTATGGGGGTGCAATGACTAATCCAGGGGTAGCTATAGCGCCCCCATGATGCCGCCACTGCTCTTCCCATGCCTAACCCCAACATTAACATTAACGTAATTCACATCATATCTCCTAAACTAACTAATAGACATTTAGAAAACTTCCCTTCCTTTGTAGTGAAAAATACAAAAAGGTCCTTAGTATGTAATATATACAAGTACACACCCACACAAATACAAATTATTTTCTGGTGCTGATTAGGCTACAAAAAAGTACTAATAACAGTGCAGTAAAAGGGGTATTTTTTTATTAATTACATACAGTATTTATAGTTTTTATTGCACTCCCAGGTTAGTTAAAAATAGTGCAATTGAATATAAACATTACATAAAAAGGTACCATGCATCATACAAACAAGCTTAATACTAAGCAAAGACATAGCAGTTTTTGTTTTATCTCATTTTCTCATGTGTGGCTCGGAGCTGCCTGCAGCTGCAGTGGGAAAGGCTAAAGACTGGCTTCTGAGCAACAAGACAATAGTCGAGGCCTTTCACGGTGAAGACACCAGCGTCTTGAGGCTGGTTATTTTAAAGGACCGTGTAGCTGACAGACTACATCTACAAAATAAAAGTTGTACAACATATTACTGGATTTTGGGTGTTTGTGTTTAAAGAAAGAAAAACTCCGTCTGCATTTGTGGGTCCGGTTTTTTTTCTCTCTCTCTCGTCTAAAAGCTTACACTGAAATAAAAGTTCTTTGGTCCATTTTCAAACTCCTGACCTGACAAAACTTTGGCTTCACAAGAATATTCAAACAGTGAACACAAAAAGAGCTACACAGAATTAACTGACAAGGTGCTTCAGTTAAAGCAAACGTAATGTTAGGAAAGGTGTGGGTCTACAGTTAAGACATCAAGGACAGGTTAAAATGCTACATTTGCTTAAATAATACAAAAGTAACCATGGCCAGATTAGAGGGACTTACTTGGATGGTGTTTTGTGTATAGGAAATATGAAGTCAGGTTTTAATTTATATAGGCAATAGCTGGAGACTGAAAATAAGCAGAAAAACAAGAAAGCACCTGTTATCTTCAGCAGAGCAAACCTGCATGGAGACAATAAATGACTTAAGCAGAGTTACTCAATCGGTCAAGTGTTATCCAAGTTTCATGTCCAGGACTACAGCCGGGACAAGCAGCACAACGAAAGGAGAAATCAGAGCATTCAATAGCAACACCATGAAAAAAATACTTTGACTTCTGTGAAACGCACAACCCAGACCCTTAATGTGTCACCCGAGAAATGTTTTGTTGCGATCCGCTGGAGCCAGTTAAACCATACGTGAGGGAACAGCGCAGCAGCCAAAGTGACTCAGTAACAGAGTTCAACATCTGCTTCCAGTTCCAAGTTCACATGGCTCGACGCACCAACAGTTCCAGGTAACGCAAGCCCATCCGGGACCTTATGAAAGCTGACTGTTGAACGTGTCACCATAAGGGCACGTGAGAGTCAGGGTCAGTGTGTGTGTGTGTGTGTGTGGAGCTGAGAAACAGCTCAGTGAAGATGGCAGTGTGTGTGTGTGTGTTTTACTAAACGCTCTCACCACTTCCAGCAGTGCGTGAGTGATGGCTGCCTTCTAGGAAAGGCTAATCCAATATGGCACACCTCAAGAGACAGAGGAGAGGGTAGTGTATTCACTTTAAGCTTCACAAGGGGAGCGCCACAGCTTAGGGTTACTACTGCAAGTCTCACTTTTTTTGTGACGTGTTCCCCTCCCTGATGTAGCAAGATCCACACATTTGACTTGTCGAGGAGGTCAGGGTGAGGTTGAGGTTTGTGGGATTTAGTGTTCCCCTCCATACACCCACCCCTTCTCACTCTCCAGCCAGGTCCTTCAGCTGAAACGCTCAGGAGAGGTTTATTTTCATGGGTGAGGAGAGAAAACAGGCCTTGCTTTGTTTGGGATGACGGAGCACCGGGTCCTCTAGAGAGGATGATGGTGGGGTATCAAACGGGGTGCGAGGGCAGCTCCAGAAGCGTCGGTGTTGGCGTCGGAACCAGCTGACGGAAGCCCACCTCCGTGGTGTCACTGATGGTGAAGTCTGGATCTTCCCCCTTTCCTCGCTGGCAATGGATGGCACTGAAGTACGCATTCATAAGCTGTATGATCTCAGTCAGCTGTGATGGAGAGACAGAGAGAGGTCAAACTGGTGGCAGTGTCAGTGACTGTCTGCACTGTCACAGGAGGGCAGAGACAGATGATGTCATCTAAAGCCTCCAGCAGCAGAGAATATGCAAGAACGAGTGTTCGAATAACCCTTCTTCCAGCGCCTAATAGCTCTATCCTCAGCTCCAACGCTAATCAAACCTGCTTTATTTTCATGTCCAGCTGTTTAAAATCCTTCCAGTGATTGTCAGAACAATAAAAGGACTTAAGTTCATAAAAAGTCTTTCTGAGCTGTGCTTCAATTTGCCTGTGAGCCCAAAAAAAAAAAAAAGCCACTTTTGTGCCTTACGAGAGATCACAGAGGGTTTTCTTGTTCTGTGTGGGAAGATGCAAGGAAATCAGTCCAGTGAAAGGCTAGATTTGTTCTCGAGAGGCGGGGGGGGCGGGGGGGCGGGGGGGGGGGGGGGGGGGGGGTTGGTCTGTCTGGAAGAACATCCCTGTTTCGGAGAAATGTTTAGCCTAATATTTTAATCCAACCACAGCAATAAAACTCGCCCCCATACCAGGAAGATAAACTTGTGGTGGTTGCCGTTGGTTTATCGAGGAGAAGCAGGTACTGAGCTCTCTGTTTAGATCAAATTAATGAGCTTTTAAAGTCGGTCAAAGGGGGGGGGGGGGGGGGGGGGGGGGGGGCAGACTGTGTGCCTTTTACTTCTGCTGCAGAACACATCTGTTCGGACTACACAGCAAGGGTTTTCTGGGCTCAGCGAAGAAAAACTGTCCAGATTTTCAGTTGAGTCCGTCTTTACCTTGGTGGTTTCAAACATCAGATCCCGATCCCCAGCTGTGATCCTGAAGGTGTTGCTGTCAGACACACTGTAAGAGCAGATCTGGCCATAAGGGAAGGACTCCAGCGCCTCGGACTCTCCCTGCTTGTAAAGAGACACGGACGAAGCGGCGACACCCAGCCACAGCTTCTGGGAAAAACTCCCTGTTGAACTCTGCAGGCGGGAAGAGGCAAACGAACGTCAGAGAAGGCCCCAGTACAGAGGGAGAAAAATTAAGACACGATCTAGCAAAACTCACAATATAAAAGTCCACTTCATAAAGAGTGCATCCAAAGCCCGACCACTGGCGTGCAATAGTGAGGTATGCAGCCATACTGTCCCTGCGGCTGTAGCCGGCCAGGCCTTTCCATCGCTCCAAGATGGAAGTCATGACAGACGACGACTCCTCCTTCAGCCGGCTCCGCAGACGCTTGTCCAGCTCCACCTTTTGCTTTTGCACTGCTGTGGCCGTGTGGCTCCACAGCGTGCCAGCCAGGAGACCCGTGGGGAAGCGCTGTGTCGTGGGACAGCTCTGAGTCGCCACCTGACACGGAGGCATCGCTTGCGCGGCCGACAGAGACACAAGAACCCGAGTTTCAAGCATGTGGCCAGGGAATAGTTCATCCAGAGGTGGACAGGGGACATGCATGCTGAAGTCGCCCATCAGCGACTGAAGCCTCAGGGCAGCTAATGCCTGCAGGTCCTCCTCACAGGCTGGCAGTTGACCACGCACCACCATCTCATGGCACTGCAGCAGGAAGACCCGGAACAGGAGAGATGGAAAAACATAGGAAGAAGGTAGTGTTTGTCAGTAATAACCTCAGGCCCGTCATCAATCCTTTCTGCCCCTCCCCGTTTTATTTTGTCTCATAAATCTTTTATAAGAGTCCTGAGGAAAAAACGTTTTAATGAAGCCATTCCTGGCTGCCTTTTGCGTTCGCTGCATTCCAGCCAATGCTTTTAGTCATCCTGCTTTTGACGCTGTGCATGCATGTTAGATTGCCGACTGCAGATCATTCAATAAAAATCATAAAAATCCAATAAAAAGGTGAAATGACTCACTCGTTCTCCTCGTCAACATTTTATTGGCCACTTAAAGGACAGATTATGAGAATAAACTCCACTGAAAGTGCGTGTTGGGATTCTTTACCTGCTCAAAGAGGAAGAAATACTCTATACTGTCCACTGATATGCTGTCAGCATCCAGCAGGCAGTACAGCTTGAAACACAGTTTCCACTGGGATGTAGACTCCGCCTCTTTGGTGGTGAGGCTGCAAAATAAAAACAGGAAATAAATAATCTGGCAATCTATCCCCGCTCTGGTCAGGATTACTGCTGTTTGGTAATCTAACAGCTAATTTTAAACATGCAAAACGTTGATGGAAGATGCCGCTGCTGTAGAAGTGAACAAAATCCAACTATATATTTTCTAGCTGCCTTTGCTGACATGTTCCCTGAAAAACTGTGATAATGTTCAGCTCAGAAGCTCTGCTAGGCAAAGACAAACATCTGCCTGAGCTGCTCTGCAGCGACACATAAGATTGCATTTAGGTTAATTTCTCCGGCAGGCGGACATCACGCCTCACACTGTCTGCTCTTTCACAGGAGGAAGGGTGAGTTAATATTTAAAACCTGGTCAGGACGTCCGCAATCAGAGCGCTCCCCGAGACCGGCTGCTCCCACAGTGCATTCTGTTCATACAGTGCAAATGTGTTTTTGCTGTCCTGAAGGCCCAGCTTCTCTTGCATCCGTCGGACCACCTGACGAGAGGAAGAGGGACTTTCAGTCATCAAGAATCAAAACAGAGAAGATAGAATTTCAATTTTTACGGCTGTCAGGGCTTTAGAATGTCACTAGCCTCCAGACTCGAGATGAAACTTTAAACAAGAACATGTGAGCGAAATGGAAAAGACCGAGAAACGTCAAGTTTCCAAGTCTTATCCTGATAAATGCTCCCAAACCTCATTGGCGGTGGTGTGTGAGCTGATGTAGAGCTGGCAGGATCCAGGGCCAGGATAGTGCACAGTGCACAGCATCTCCTGTCGATTCATCAGCATCTGGATCTCATCCCAGGATGGCACACACTCCCGACATTTTGTCTTCTCTAAAGCCTCGCTGATGAAGGACGCATAGTTATCCATCTCCGATTCAGGACTCTGGCTCTGAATTCTGCAGCAAACCATGAAAGTTGAGGAGTTTGTGCAGTTCAAAGCAAATAAAAACAATTTGTTCACCACGATCTTAACTGTGACTCATAACCATGTTGAGTGCTTTGCTGCGATTTGGAACTTTTCGTCATTCGTTTTGATTCAGCTCCAGTGTGTATTTTCTTTGGATTTGGGAAAAGTTCAGGAATGAAAAATGTTCTCACTTCAGCTGTAAGAGGCTTAAAAGGCCCAGTATCCCTCAGTCCTTCAAACTTAATTAGAATGGCAAAGAAAACACTAGGCAGGTAGTGGACGAAACAGGAAGCGGGGTTTCCGCTGCTGTGAACCAGAGCCACCTGCCAATTCCTCCCAGTAGAGTGCAAGGTGTCTCCCGTTGTTTATTAAAACGCAAGACAGCCCAGGTGGAGCGTCACGCCTGACAAATCACGACTGTTAAAGGTGTGAAATACACTGTAAACACAGAGGAAAACAAGGAGAAGAAAATAAACAAAACAAAAGCCGCCAGGCACACGGATGCCCACTCGTTCACTCCAACGTCCTGCTATCTCATAACTAAATAGCCACAGGGTGGGATTTGTCCTGCTGAAACACAATCAGGAATGTTCCACTGAGTCTCTGTGATCCTTCCTATCCTCTCCTCTCCTCAGCCCTTTCTGCTGCTTCCTGCTTACCCCCCCTCCCCCGGCTCTGCTTTCTTTCTCCTGGCCTACTCCCTCTGACAGCAGACATTCCCTGGGGGTTTCTCAGGGCACCGGAGGGGAGGTGGAGGCATGGAGGAAGAGGAGGAGGAGTGATTTTGGGCCCACTGCCCAGCTCCAGTCTCAGCTCTGCCCAGCTGCAGCCTCAGCGCTGATCCGGTGAGAGAGAAAGTGCGTGAGAGCGACAGCAAGACATATCAAAACACAGAGCCAGCCAGTTCCACAGTGTTATTCTGAATTACCGTTGCATGCAACTGTTCCATTAGCTAGAGGGCAATTCCCAGTGCAGAAATACAGATAGAAAGCTGCAGCGGTTTGATGGCACGGTGTTGAAAAACTCAGAGCAGAGCAGGAGATCAGCGCCGCTAACAACTTAGATTAGTATGCTTGACAGAGGGGCTAATTCGGACCTGCAAATCCAGCCTTTAAACTCTGAATCTTTCCGGGGGGGGGGGGCGGGGGGGGGGGGGGGGGGGGCATATTAACAATGTGAAGGCATATTTTGCTACTATATCTAAACTGGTGGTTAGAAAAACTGGCGCCAGCTTTTTGTCAGTCGTCTAGACTCATCTTTCTTGTACTGGTTCACCTTCACCTCCCAGATAAACCTGTTCCCAGTTGCAGGCTCCGCCCTCTCACCTCCAACCTGCTCTGATGTACGTTTGTTCCAACTAGTACTCATTAAAAAAATCTCTCATGTTTATTTTTCAATGTCGACTGACAACTGCAGCAGATTACCTCATGCTGTAGCGTTTTCCACCTGTCTTCTACACGTCAAATTTCCCCACATAGATGAGTCAGAACCAGAGGAAAAACGAAGAAAATCCCATGTTTTCCCTTTAATTATAACTAGGGGATGAGAACAGCTTTCTCCAAGGAGTTGGGTTTATAAGTTCATAAGTTTTGCGTGAATGCTGAAAAGGCCTGTGAAACAGTCTGGCTGCTGAAAGTAATCCCCAAGCTTGAGGAGTGCTCCTTTAAAACCAAATACACTCAACTGTTTTTGATCTGATGACCATTTTCTGGGTGTTTCTCACCTCTTGAGGTGGAATCGCAGGTATTTGAGCATGTTGGGTCCAGGCAGAAAGGTGCAGCTCATACAGGTGAGAAGCTGCCAGTAACGCAGATGTGCAGCAGTGTACGGGGAAGGTGTGTGGCTGGTCTGCTTCACTAGCTGACAGTAGACCTCATCGCGGAGGGGCCGCAGGTCCAGGCAGGTCTGCAGCACGCCCTGGATGATAGGAACCGGCTCCCGCACCAACTCCAGCTGCTGCAGGCAGTTGAAGAGCTTCACGGCCTCCTCTCGCACCGAGCCATAGCCTTTACCGTTGTGGTCTGAGGAGAAAGACCGGACAGTCAGACTGTTACCCTGTTACCCCAAAATTCCACTACCTCCGCTCCGGCATGTACTCCGCAGCAAAATCAATCCCGTTGTAGTCAATCAGAGCTGTTCCACTACTGCGGCCGTGCGGCGCAGTGCACCGCCCTCCGTTCCGCCATCCGGCAAAAATAGGATCGATTGTATTTTTGCCGGACGCCGGAGCTCCTCCGCAGTCAATGGACAGAAATCACAACCGCCCAACAGGAAAGGGAGCAAACACAACTTCCTTTATTTCACAATAAATCGATAAACAAAAGGCGTTTTTTGTTTCATATGCACAGGTTTAACAACTTTTAACAACTATCAATGGCGGTTGAACTTTAAATGCACAAAAATAAGCCATAAATACAGTTTCCACTATCAAAGTAGTCACACTTTGTTGATCCAAACACTGCTGATCTCTCAACACAAATGATGGGCAGATTAAACAGTTCATGCCGATGCTTCTCCCACACAACGGGTGTTTGGATCTAACTTCCACGTTTATTGCTCGGACTGTATCGCAAGATCTCGAAAATCCCGCGCATGCCTGTTTGCGCACCTCAGGTCTCCGCACCGGAGCGGAGCCGTTGTAGAGCGGGTATCAGTAAAAATTGAGTTCGGAAGCGAGCGGCTGCGGAAGGCGGGGGCGTAGCGGAGCGGAGCGGAGGTAGTGGAATTATGGGGTTAATGGTAATATTTGAACATTAAAGCAGTATGAAGAATGACACCTTGTGGTCAAATTTGGGTACTGCAGCCCATGTTTTAAAACAGCCAAGCGAGTTATCTCAGCTGTTGCCAGCTATGGCCGTTAAGTTGTTGGTAATTGAAAAATCAGCTTGAAATATTTTAGAGCCGACTATTTGTTTCTAATTCACCGTAGGCACGGTTGGCTCGAAAATAGCCGCTAGCCTTCTTCACCCAAAATGATGTCGTGGCTTCTTTAGGGGTACAAAAAATACCTCCTGGGGCGCTGCGACCTCGGGTCGCTGCTGCTTTTTGCTGGCTGGTGTCTAATTACAGAAGCCGGCGCAGCTGTGAGTAGAATTTTCTGGCGCAAACTCAGAAGCCACACAGACTCACAGATTATAAACAGAAACTACATCCCTCTTTGGCTTTTTTAAAAGGAGAAAAATTGACAACCCCAGCCACCCGCGACGGGCATTTGTTCAAATGTAACCGTCCTTCCAACATGATTGAGACATTAAGACTCTTTTGTGATTATTTCACTGTAGAATTATCACCTATTGTACCTTTAAGTTTACGAAAACCGTTTATCATCTGTTTTGTGACATGACATCTAATCGTTGTGACCTAGTATGACAAACCAGCTGGAAGTACTTACATGTGTGCTCTAGACTTCCATAAGGGAAGGGCAGCAGAGGAGCATACAGCGGGCCCTGGGTGTACTTCAGGATGGGGTTGTGCTGGTAAATATGTTCTACAACCTCAGGATTGAACTTATTTTCCTGTGCACAAAAAGGACAACAACAAAACAAACAATATGTTATCCTCCTGAAGTTGACCTGAAAGTGGTCTGTTTGTGATCGTGTCTTTTAGGGTTTACCGGGGACAGTTCGACCCGATCATCATCAGGCTCTGGCAACGTCCAAAGCAACAGGAAGGTCAAGTGACAACCTATCAACCCATACTTGAATGACAGACATGCTATACTTTATGCACCGGTGTCAATGAGTTTACTGTGCGTGTGTTTATGTCTTTGACTGTCTGTGTGGAAAGATGCCTCCCAGCTCTGCAGATGGCTCCCATGCAACTGCCCTCACAGCACCTGTTGCTCATTAGCAGCATTGCGCCAGTTCTGGCTCGTTCCTGACTCTGCAACTCTTCCAAACGCTCTACCCTCTCTGTCTTGCTGCAAGCGGAGTCGGCTTTTCTCATCCTGACAAATTCTTCTGTTTGAAATGTGAGAATGGGATCCTGACAACAGCATCACAGCATCAGAGGACGATCAGAAGAGTTGCGAGAAAAGGAGTTGTTTTCCAAACTAAAATGACACTTCCCTGTTAATGTGGTAAATATGAAGTTTTTGGTCTATGTTGGTCTAAAGTTAAAGTCCCATTAGTCATCATCCACACTGGTGAAATTTATCTCTGCATTTGACCCATCCGTGAGCTGCGGCAGTGGCTGTGCTCGGGAACTATTTGGTGGTTTAATCCCCCAATCCAAGCCCTTAAAGCTGAGGGTCAAGCAGGGAGGCATTGGATCCCATTGTTAAAGTCTGTGGTATGACCTGCCTGGGACTTTAACCTCGATGCTCCCAGTCTCAGGGAGGACGCTCTACCACTAGGCCACTGAGGTTGTTGAAATAGATAAATTAGCTTGATATATTTTAGAGCCAACTATTTCTAATTCATTGTTAGCATTGTTGGCTCAACATTAGCCGCTAGCCTTCTTCACCCAAAATTAAGAGTAAAACAAAATTATTTTGAGGCCTCTTAGGGGACAAAAAATACCTTATAACAATGTTTTTTTTAAATTTCAACAAACTTCTAAGCCTATTAATAGAGTGTCCGCCCTGAGACTGGGAGATCGGGGTTCAAAATAGTGATGCACTGATATAAAATGCTTGGGCCGATACCAATATTAAGATCACCGTTGTGGCCGATGACCGATTGACTGACATTAATTCTTCTAAAATCAGCAGATTTTGTATAGAATGAAAGTTATTAAAGCTGAATTTACATTATTATGTACACACACCACACACATTTACGCATCTGAGATGATTACAATCACTGTCACGTGACTAAAAAAATACACACCACCCCCCGTCACCCTCTATAACAGATAAACAAATGGAAACAAGATGGAAAAAATATTGGTTGTTAATATTGGCCCGGTTTTATTTATCGGACCGATATGTTAAAAAAATTACTAACATCGGCGATACCGATACTGATGCCGATATATTGTGCATCTTTAGTTCAAATCCCAGGCAGGTCATACCAAGACTTTAACAATGGGACCCAATGCCTCCCTGCTTGACACTCAGCTTTAAGGGTTTGGATTGGGGGATTAAACCACCAAATAGTTCCTGAACGCAGCCACTGCTGCAGCTCACGGATGGATCAAATGCGGAGATGAATTTTACTAGTGTGTGGTGATGATGACTAATGGGACTTTAACTTTAGACCAACATAGACCAAAAACTACAAATTTTCCCACATTAACAGGGAAGTGCCATTTTAGTTTGGAAAACAAGTCCTTTTCTTGCAACTCTTCTGATCGTCCTCTGATGTTGTGATGCTGTTGTCAGGATCCCATTCTCACATTTCAAACGGAAGAATTTGTCAGGATGAGAAAAGCTGGCTCCTTGCAGTGAGACAGAGAAGGTAGAGCGTTTGGAAGAGTTGCAGAGTCAGGAACGAGCCAGAACTGGCGCAATACTGCTAACGAGCAACAGGTGCTTCTAATTGTGACTCTTAAACAGTTTCTAAATAAATTCAAACTGTTTCTCTGTTTCTACATACCAGGTTTCCCAAATATCAGTTTCTCAATTGTTTTTACTAAGACAAAAATAAAGTGGTAGGTAGGAAGTTCCCAACATCCAGGTTTTAATAGAGTCAAGCAGGTGTGTAGCAGCTGCAGCTTAGACATCTCATGGGGCTTAAAGAAGATGGACAGTTGGATGTCATCTGCGTAACGATGGTAGGAGATTCCTTTAAGCTCAGGTAGAAGAAGCAGATAGAGGAGGAAGAGTAGAGGCCCCAGCATAGAACCTTGCGGGACACCATGAGCGAGGTCTAGATAGGGTCTAGAGGGGCAGCAGTAGCTCAACAGGTTGAGCGGGTTGTCCAGTAATCGGAAGGTTGGAGGTTCGATCCCGGCTCCGGACAGAGAATTCTGCTGTTATGACTGGTGGCGCCTGTGCTCGGCAGCCTCGCCTCTGTCAGTGCACCCCAGGGCAGCTGTGGCTACATCGTAGCTCATCACCATCAGTGTGTGAATGTGTGTGAATGGATGAATGATACACTGTAGTGTAAAGCGCTTTGGAGTCCTTACTCTGAGAGGCGCTATGCAAGTGCGGGTCATGTTCATCCAATGACTTCTTCCTGTAAATTTCATTTAAATTATTTCTGTGCTTAATGAGACATTTGGACAGCACACCAGCTGTACGCACAGCAGCAGGTGATAAAAACAAGATGAGTATCGGACACTATCAGTTACGGGTAAACCACTCTCAAGTAGTTTTTTCACAGGATGTTATTTGTTGAGAGACACAGAGACAGTGTTAAAGCTCCAAACAAATTCATTTGTTCCTTTTGCTGCCTCACATGATCATTTCACTTAATTCAACCTAAATATTTACAAACCATTTTTGAGAATTGTTTGCCTACAAACTATTTTTATTCTGGCCATCTGTAAAACGACCTCATCACCTATGTCTTCTTCGTCTTCCTCCGCTTATCCGGGTCCGGGTCGCGGGGGCAGCATCCCAATTAGGGAGCTCCAGGCCGTCCTCTCCCCGGCCTTGTCCACCAGCTCCTCCGGCAGGACCCCAAGGCGTTCCCGGACCAGATTGGAGATGTAACCTCTCCAACGTGTCCTGGGTCGACCCGGGGGCCTTCTGCCGGCAGGACATGCCCGAAACACCTCCCCGGGGAGGCGTCCAGGAGGCATCCTGACCAGATGCCCAAACCACCTCAACTGGCTCCTTTCGATCCGGAGGAGCAGCGGTTCTACTCCGAGTCCCTCCCGAATGTCCGAGCTCCTCACCCTATCTCTAAGGCTGAGCCCAGCCACCCTACGGAGGAAACTCATTTCGGCCGCTTGTATCCGCGATCTCGTTCTTTCGGTCATTACCCAAAGCTCATGACCATAGGTGAGGATCGGGACGTAGATCGACCGGTAAATCGAGAGCCTGGCTTTCTGGCTCAGCTCCCTCTTCCCCACGACAGATCGGCTCAGCGTCCGCATCACTGCAGACGCCGAACCAATCCGCCTGTCGATCTCCCGATCCCTCCTACCCTCACTCGTGAACAAGACCCCGAGATACTTAAACTCCTCCACTTGAGGTAGGACCTCTCCCCCGACCCGGAGGTGGCAAGCCACCCTTTTCCGGTCGAGAACCATGGTCTCAGATTTGGAGGTGCTGATCCTCATCCCAGCTGCTTCACATTCGGCCGCGAACCTACCCAGCAAGAGCTGAAGGTCAGAGCTGGATGAAGCTAGGAGGACCACATCATCCGCAAAAAGCAGAGACGAGATTCTCCTGCCACCAAACTCGACACACTCCACACCACGGCTGCGTCTAGAAATTCTGTCCATAAAAGTGATGAACAGAACCGGTGACAAAGGGCAGCCCTGGCGGAGTCCAACCCTCACTGGGAACAGGTCCGACTTACTACCGGCTATGCGGACCAAACTCACGCTCCTCTGGTAAAGGGACTGAATGGCCCTTAACAGAAAGCCACCCACCCCATACTCCTGGAGCGTCCCCCACAGGGTGCCCCTGGGGACACGGTCATAAGCCTTCTCCAAATCCACAAAGCACATGTGGATTGGTTGGGCAAACTCCCATGCCTCATCACCTATGTTTTTAGCTTAATTTCTAACAATAATGCTGAGTGTAAAACAGTAAGCTAAACTTCATCAGATTTTGACTTTTTAATCCACCCATGGAAGAAAATGTATGTGTCTTGGTCATTCTTTCTTCGTGTCAAAGCATAGGGAGGACTTATCAAAAGTAAAAACTGAAATAAAAAGACTGAAGAGCAGTTTAAAAGCAGCCTCCTTTAAGCTCCTTCAAAATATAGACATGGCCCCTCCTGGCAAAGCAGACAGTGGTCGATAAAGGCAAGTAGATTAACCACTTTCTCTGAGATTAGGGACTCTCGTTGAGAGATTACTGAGACAGGAGGCCAGGCATGGGGCTGTTTATCTGGTACTAATGCCTTTTGCCAAGCCCTCTCCCACCTCCTCTGCCAAAACTGCCCCTTTTTTCACCTCAAGGGTAGACTGATGCAAGACCACTTCTGTCTGCTCAATGCGATTCCTGCACACCATGTTTTCCAGCAGCTCCTGTTCTAAAAATACAGCTATGCTATAGAAAACAAAATGTGTCTCATCTATTCTGCGAGGATTACTGACTGGAATCGCGGTTATCGTACGGCTACCAGTGTGTTTTCGTAATCTGTCTAAGTGAGATGACAAAAAAAAAACAAGCCCATTCAAAAGAAAAACGCAACAAGAGTAAACTTTGGACTTCCAGCCAAGTGTGGCCGTGTGGTTTCCGTGGCAACAGAGTGGGTGAATAATATACAGTCTGACGACTGTGTTTGGTGGCTCTTAACGCAGGTAGTTTGTCAGAAACTGTGTGTGTTTGTGTGCTTTAATACTGCCCACCTCAATGTCTCGAATCAAAAGCTGTGTTGGCGTTTCCACGGGGGATTTGGTGTCAATGATTTTCTGGATGGCACAAGCCCAGTGCACAGCTTCATTGAAGTGCTTGGTGTACAGCCTGTAGCAGTGTTTCCGTCCATAAACAGTAATGCTCCAATAACCTGAGGGAAAGAAAAGGTCACTATTCAAAGTGCAACTGATCTGCGAGTGTATTTTAAGTAAACAGGAAAGAAAACTGCAGGGGACGCCTGGAAAAAAACAAAAAAGTCAGCCTCCAACTCCTATTCCCCAACTTCCTTTCTTGGTTTCATTAAGGATCAAAGGTCAGAGTGAGCGAAATCTCAAGTCCCACCAAAACCAAACAAGAACAGTTCTCCTGCAGTGAGTCTCATCTTGGATAACACACAATAAAAGTGAAAGAAAAGCACACTTCCTCCTTGTGCAGAGGAAGTTGTAGATATACCCCTGGTAGCCTGACTTGATCTGCAGCAGCACGGCTGTTATCAGACTTTCCTGCTAAGTGACTTGGCTCCACACCACTCTAAGTTCTTGGAGAAGAATACATTCAAAATGATTATGCTTTTATTGCTGGTTACTGAGTTTTAATTGCAGATATGCTCACATGTTTGTAGTGCAGTTTTCATTTGGTGTCCTTAGATTAACGCTGCTGTAAATGGGTCAATGATACCACAAAATCAGCCAACCAGGGGAACTTGGCAACAATCAGAAAATACACAGAGGAAGTAAGAATTTCACACAGCTATTTAGTGACAAATTTAAACCTATTCTGGTGTGAAAACGTCTGTGACTGTTATGACAAAGCACATTCCTGTCCAGAAAAGTCCCCAAAATATGGTCTGTAGAAACTTTGTTTGGATTTATGGAGTGATTTAAACATTTTAATCTATTTTAAGTTTTCCACGGAGGCACACACAGACAGACTTTGAGGGAAATGTGTAAACATAAAGTTAACCAGATCAGTTATCCTTGTGTGACGCAACAAAATGTTCCTCCTGGCCCTTCAACTCTTTTTCTTTTGTTCATCCCAAAAGGGAAGCTTCCTACTCATAAGGAACCAACCATAAACCATGGTTCTGGACAACAATGGGACTTTCCAAACATACTCTGATGTATCACACACTTCGGCAGGAAATGTGGACCAGGGGACAACACTCGACTATCAACGAAACCAGAAAAAAAAAACCTCCTGGTTTTTTTTTTTATTCTAAATTTGATGTCAGATATGGAATTAAAGTGGAGTTGGCTAAGCTAAAGAGATTACAGGAAATTCTTCATGACTATGAGCTTCAGCCCTTTGGTCTGTGCTTTATGAATATGTACGCTCACCTGTCTCTTTGTACGTCTGCTTGTCTGGCCAAATGACGGAGCAGAGGCTGGTGAGGACCAGTGTGCCAAGTCTGCGAGCGCCTTTCTCCGGTCCGCTGAAATAGTCCAGAGAATCTTGGCTCAGCACAAACCAGTACCGGCGATGTTTTATCCAGCTGCCTCGTACCTCCCGCAAGAGCCAACCTTTAAATAAGACACATACCAGCATCATTAGACAGCTGAGCTTCAAAATGAAATAACATCACTTGTTAATATTTTAATAAACTTTTATTTCACTTTTGTATTTGTTGGTACACACATTATACACTGCCTGGTCAAAAAATAAAAAAGTTAACAACTGGATGTAAGTAAATAGGTACAAGCCTCTTATTGGATAATTACTGCATGGGTGAATATCCTTCAGCTGGCAACAAGTTATTTAACCCCAACTGATGCAATGAGCAGCTTCTCATTTCTTTAACAGCCATGTTGGAAGACACATCTGGTGGCCAGGGAAAAGATGTTAGCCTGTCTGAGAAGGGTCAGATCATTCGTTCACCACAGAGTCCAGACCTGAACCCCATTGAGAATCATTGGGATGTGCTGGAGACGGCTTCCTGCAGCGGTCAGACTCTACCGTCGTCAACGCAAGATCTTGGTGAAACATTAATGCAACACTGGATGGAAATAAATATTGTGACACTGCAGAAGCTGATTCAAACAATGCCACAGCGACTATGTGATGTAATCAAAGCTAAAGGCGGTCCAAATAATATTAGTGTGAGATCTTTTTTTTTTTAGGTGGAGACTCGTTTTTGGCAGGAGAATGGATTTACATTTAATGAAGCTAGAAGTCAACTCAAACTACAACCACGAGCCAGAGCTGTGTGTGTCTTTTGAGTCATTATTCCATTGAAGGACTCATGACCTACCATACAGACCAAGCTTTAGGACACTGGGCAGTCCTCGCTCCAGAATCCCTCAATTGTCCTGAGATTTCATTGAACCCTCAACAGATTCAATCAATCTTTTCTTTAATTGTTTTAGCTGATGTGACCAGCAGAAAAATCTCCAGCTTTGTCTCATTTGTTTAAAGGACATCCTCCCAGCTTTGTGGCTTGTTATTTTGATTTGAACAGTCTCACATTTTTGCACTCCGTGATCATCTTCCATTAAGCCTACTTTGGTTCAAACAGGGGTGGTGCCATTTGATACCGATGTGTCTTGGACTTTGAGTTCACCTCTAATCTTTTGGAAATTGGCATGTGCACTTTGGAAATCATTGAGTGACTATAGTCAGAAGATCCTTGAGCTGCTTGGGGATGGTCTTCTAGTTTTTACCTTTAAAGATGTGGAACACTTGTTTAATCAATACAGTTGCAGTGGTCTAATAGGAATGAATGCCTTGTACAAGGGTGAGAGCTGAAGCACATATATCAGCAGAGTATTCAGCTGGAGAAGAACGTAGCTTAAGACGACAGGATTTGGAGTCTTAGTTCTGGAGATTTGAACATCTTGCCTTGAATAACAGCAGTTGTTGCTAATGCTAACAATTAGCTTCTATTAGCAGAGACGTTCTCTGCTGTTTCCTGGACGCTAAACCACCAATAGCCTTTTCCGTCATGAGTCAAGATTGGCGAGTCCTTGAATGTTCACTGACTTTGTGACATAGATCTGTCAGGCTTTTTCAAATCCTAGAGTTTCACTGTCTATTTTCTACCAGACGCTAACGCAGGGGATAGGTGTAGGAGACTATTTTAATGTCCACTATTATTACTATAATGTGGGAGATGGATTATAATCAGAAAAAAAATCATTAAAAATGTTTTTATCAGCGTTCCACACCTTTAATGGTTATTTCTGACAATAATTGGTAACTTTGGGTTTTCCATAGATGCTCGGATTTAAAAATCCTGACTGATCTACGTCGACTTACAAGGCAATCATCCCTACTAGAGACCAATATGGTGGTCAATTAGTCTGTCTGATATCCTTTAGCTTACTGTGTTCCAGGTTCAATGTGGTACACACCACACAACATTGTGACTACGTTCACCCAGTCAGATTTAATAATAGGAAGCCTAAGTCTCGTCCCTTTTCGGTCGGCTCATGGGTCCCCGGAAGTATGAAAAAATGAATGCGAGTCAATGGGGCCAAAAGAGCTATTTTCTAATCTGCTTTGCCTTACGCGCTGGATCGCATGGCTTCAAAACGCATCTTTAAAATTCACAGATATCATATGTGACATCCATGGAACATAACAAGCGGAATTGAAAATAGCGTTTTTAGCCCCATTGACTTGCATTCATTTTTCGTTCTTCCGGGGACCCATGATCTGGAAGTAGATGGGCGTGACTTGGGCTCCCTAATATGTACCCATAATGCAAAATGATCAACATCTGAAGCTGACACAGAAGATTCCATTTCCTTTTAAGTGCCAATGGGTATCCAAGTATAAAATCTACAGATCAATGTGTTTGTTACAACACTGAAAGGAAAAACACCAACATTATAGATCAAAAGGTGACATTAACTTGTTTTAGAAATACACACAATAATAACAAAGTAAAGTCAGAAAGGTTTCTAGGTAATCATGCAAAAAGAGGGAAGTGAGTTAACAAAAGCTTCCATACCATGTCTTCACTGAGGAAAAATCCCCAAGGTATGCGACTATCCATAAAGTTTCCTCAGTCTGTGTGACTGCCTTATTGGGGTAACTGCTAGGGGATAAAAATACAGCCTGCTAATGGCAGAGGCATTAAGTGCTGCTCGCTGCCAACATAATTACCACTTTTGAGGTTGACAGAGTTAGAAAAGGGGAGACGGTTACTGGAGCAGTTTGATAGAGAAGCAGCAGCCATGTTAGCAGGCATGCTTTCTGTAACGTCTCTACAATGAGATACTGTTTAGCTTCTGAGGGTTTGATTGCATCAACCCAGATCCACTGTTCCCAGACAGTGAACTTTTCCCCTCTCAGTCACAAACGCAGATTGTTTCTTTTAAGTGTTTAATCTTGGGGAAATACCCTAGTGTTTAAGTGCTGCTTATAGTCAAACTGTGTAAAAAGTCCTGGCGGTCAGATCTTCGTGGCAGACCACCTGGAGTAGCACTCGGACAGGGTTTATTCTGGCACTGAAACAAATGCAGGCTGATTTTATGTGGGTGCACATGGGTTGGGAGTAGTTTTAAAGGAACAATTAAAAAAATATACCATCAGCTTCCAACCCTGTAAAAACTGTAATGACGCCACAACAGCATCACGACTTCCTCTGTGGTTAGCAAGCTGCAAGCCACCTGCCAGCCAAGCGCTCGTTTCACCAGCATCTCTCTTCCCCCTTCTCTCACTCTCTTCCTACTTACTTTCATCTGCCCAATCCCTCCTCTCACCCTTCATTTTAACCTTGCTCAAGTGTGGTTTTCCCAGTGAGCACAAGGATCTCTGCTTTGCTGCTGGGTTATACCAGGGTCCTCCACTCATTATGTGCTTTCGCATTTCGCAATAGAACACCACTGATGTGAGAGGTTCACCGCTTAGTAAAATCAGAGAAGGAGAAACAGCCGGCTGCTACCACTTCAACTTTAGGACAAACTACCAGAGTCCCAAAAAGAAAAACGCCATTTGAAGTCATGGACAACAAAATAGGTTTGAACTTAGAAAACGGCAACTGGTGTTTAGCCCTCTCTCGTTTCCTCTGGCAATGCGGGGTCCAGTATCCGGCGGACGTGGCCCAGGGATGTTAACCAATGAGAAGGGTGAGAGTTCTGTGACCGTGTTTGTGTTTAAAAGTTAGCTTGTTTTGACATTGGAGCTTTAACAAATAATGTGATCATCAACTGGTTTAAACGGATAAATACATGTCTAAGTGCTGAGCTTGCTGACTGACTGGATGTGGGGCAGTCATGCCATACAGGTTATCTGTATTAGAACACTAAAGGAAGGGCGTGGCTGCCGCCCTGACGCCTCTGTCACAGACAGATGATGTCCCACAGATGCTGCTCATTTGAGGAACTTTAAGCAGAGAGATAAGGAAAGTCAAAGAGGAGTCAGAAAGAGCAGAAAAGTCTCCAGACTCCCTGTGTACCCCACTCATGGCATTCCATCTGGATCCCATCTATGTAGTCTGCTAATGTTTCCCCTGGGGGCCACGACTCGCCCTTAATTTGTTTCATTTGTGACCCTTGACCTCTCAGTGCCCTGCCCCCTCTAACATGGACGAGGAAACAATCTCTCTCTGTACTATTTTTTTTTACTGCAGGCCTCCTGCTAATCTATGAACACTTAGTTATTGTTTCATGCACTTAATGTTGTGTAAAGCTCTAATGAAATATGATTGTTAAACATAAAAGTGCACCATACATTAAGGTTCAGCTCATCAATGCATTCATGAATTCATGTGAAAGGAAGTTTGATTAAACTTGCTGCAGGAATTTCACTGAAATGGAAAGAAAAGTAAATTCAGGGAAACATTTTAAATCTCTGATCAGATCAGGAATCAAAGCTGAAGGACTGGGTGGAGATCTTAAGTTGAGTAAAAATGGGAATTGTTTGTTTATTTTTATTTTTAACCCCCCCCCCCCCCCCCATTTAAAAAAAATAATAAAAATAAAAATGAATTGAAACAAAGCAGACATCATACATGTTGTGTTTTTGTATTATGTCCTGTCACAGGACATAATACAAAAACACAACATGTATGATTTAAAATAAGAGTTCCTAAAAATGCTAACGCAACTAAATAAGTAACTCAAATGATTTATCAAATAATGCAAATAAAAACAAGCAAAAAATAAATAAAATAAAGTTGGAACTTTGAAAGATGAGTATTTCTAAAACTAGACCAGAACTTTACAAGTGTTTGTATTAAAGCTGCTGACTGAACCGTTTCTCTTTTTGGATCAGACATACCCAGACAGCTAAGCTGCAGTTTACTGGAGCATGCGAAGCTGTGCATCATGTGACGAGTAATTTTAACTGTAAATCAACAAAGGAATGTCAATAAACCAATGTCAACATCTCTTTCTGTCACCAGTCCATGTCTATTACAATTCATCCTCACATCATCAGTCTATATCTGCAGTGGCCTATTTTAGATAGTGGGGCAACATTCACCCCACGTAGCCTCAGGAAGTCATGCTGAAAAAAGAAAAAGAGAGAAACACACACAAACTAGGTAAAAGGCTCTAATGGAAGCCTTCTTAAAAACACATTCTTGTGCTCCGAATAGAGGAGAAATGAGAGGGATTATCCAACGCCCTCAGGTGTCCTTTAGTTGGGGCTCCTGTAATAACGTGGTTTGGTGAACAGTGAAGCATGGTGGAAAAGTGCAAAAAGCTACAACCAGGACAGCGGGGCATGAAAAACGGCTCAGAAGAACTGTGTGAGAAACATCGAGTGGGCACCAAATCAGAGAGGAACACGGGGCATGAGGCACAGCAACAGGAGTCAGAATTAGGCAATGTGGCTGTCGCTGCTCCAAACAGGACAGAACAAACCCCAGCAGAGGCATTTTGCTGCCCTGTTTCAGCAGGCCAAGAAGAAAAGAGAAAACGGATTACACAGATGCATCTCATGAGATCATTCCTGAAAAGTATGCAAGATGAAGCTGCTGATGCCAGTAGCTGTGCACCACATGTGGTCACAGAGGGGTTAGCGGCAGGGCAGCGGCCCAGCGTGCAGCTGCAACAGGAGACGGTTTGGACAATGCATGATATTTAATCACACTAGGAAGCACAGAAAAGTGATAATCTACTAACAAAAACAGATTATTTAGTATTAAATGAAGATGTGATTTGTTTTCAATCATTCTGTGCTCTTGTCAACTGCATAAAAATGTTCTTCCAGTTTCAGGAGTTGTTGATTTAGTTTGACCAACAGTCCGAAGGTGAAAGGTGTTTGATCAGCATCAGTGTGGCGAAGCAATAACAGCTTGTGTACATGACTCTTCAACAGTTTCACCCTTTCACTTAACTGGCGACCATTTTCTGTCTATTGGTGAATTATTTTGTCACAACAATACTGAATCCGGTCACTGGCCTGATTGTTTCAGTTAAGAGCATTGATCTAAGGAAGATTAGTCATGTTGGTGTGTTGCATTGTGTTTGTTGTTCAAGTGTGACCCACCTTTCACCAACAGCTCAGGCTCTTCCTCCAGTCCCATCTCATTCTCCTCAGTGATCGGTTTCTTCATCTTGACAGGTGACTGTGAGATAGTGTGCCTGTGCAGGACAGCAGATGGAGAATGTAAATAACTGAGCTCAAACCTTCCTCTGAAATCTCCCCAGCACGGGGATGGACAGCTACTGTAATTGGCTCAGGGACTCTGCTGGCAGTGACTCCATGCCAACTACGAGTCACGTAGGGGAGACTGGAAGAAGTGCCACAAATATCTGCTCCCATGCATTTTCCCACTTTCCCTCCCTAGCAGCACGCACAGCCTGCTAACAAACACTGATACGCGCCGAGCCACTGTGGACAGCTCAGCTATCTTTCATCACGTTGGCTGGCGAGCTGAGCGGGCGACTGAAAATAAACGTGACAGGGTGACGCCGGCCTGACTCCCAGCCAGCCAGCAGAGGAAGGCAAAAGGTTCAAAAGGTCAGTCTTGGATAGTTGAAACCATAAACATCAAAAAACATCTATAAATCTGCTGAATTGATGTTCTTCGTGTTTGTGTCCTATCATAAAGCAGCGAATGCAGCAATTTTAGCATTTAGCAGCTCTCCAGCTTCTGGTCTCACAACTATAAAGTCCAATTATCTCCAGTTGAGGCCCGTTTCCATTCTATTAGATATTTGAGAGAGGTTTACCAGTGTTTATTTATTTATCTAATAGCTCATTTATTTTCTCTTTCCAGGGTCTAAATGTCAGGTGTTGGACAACCCCTCCTTCCTTCCTGTCCTCCTCCTCTTCCTCCAACATCCTCCTGGGACCACAGCAGAGGAAATGCATTAAGTTTAGCCTCCCAAGGTTATCGGCCTCTAGTTACCTGTGCTTTTGTCGGCTGATTCATGTCAGTATTGATCCGATCATTCCAGGAGGTTCCTCCTCACGGAAGGCAACAATAATCAATAAGTCTCAATAAAGCTTTATCTGCTTTGACTCAGCTTACATGGCTACAGAAGCCTTTGCTGTGTTTTACTCTGAACTCTAAGCTGAGAGTGTCTACAACAAGGTTTATCTGGTTCAACTCTGTGGCACTGGTTCCCAAAGGCACTCTGATCTCTTTATGACATCATTTTGCTGTTGATGTTTCCAACTTTCTGGTATCTTCAAGTAGAGTTTATAAAAGTTAGTGCCTGGATTTATAGAAGTTTAGCTTCGGCGACATTTTGTGCCCAAAGAATGTTGTATGACCAGGTTATTCACGATGTTCATGATGACACGGACTTATTCCAAGATGACAATGCCAGGACTCATCGGGCTCAAATAGTGAAAGAGTGGTTCAGTTCAATTCAATTCACGTTCGTTTATAAAACGCCAAATCACGACAAGAGTCGTCTCGAGCCACTTCACATAACAAACATTCAAATACAGGTCAGTTCATTTAGGGCTGGGCGATATGGTCTCAAATCGACACTGCGATATAATCTGAAGCATGCGCGGTAACGATATATATTGAGATATATTTTTTCTTCTGTTTATATATGTCAAAATGACATGCTATTAAATATCCTCATGTGGCAAATACATGCCACTTGAGGCATATAGGCCTCCTCCTCCTCCGCCCACTCCATGCTTGCAGTCACCGCCATTCTGTTGCCCCAATGTCAGCAGGGTGCACATCTTAGTGACGTCATGTGTTATCGTGATATTGCAGTATTGCGATATAGCCAAAAACTCTATCATTACCCAATTTTATATCATTTCTACCTTGTATTGTTTATATTGCTCACCCCTAAGTTCATTAAGCCAATCAGAAAAAATGTTTCCTACCCAGCAAATTATACCAAGTCACTGACCGTTGTCAGTGACTTTACAGCAATCCTCATACTAAGCAAGCATTTAGCGACAGTGGAGAGGAAAACTTCCTTTTAACAGGAAGAAACCTGTCAGGGAGTATGAGACATCTTTTTCACACATGGATTGGCCACCACAGAGTTCAGACCTTAACCCCATTGAGAATCTTTGGGATCTGCTGGAGAAGGCTTTGTGCAGCAGTCAGACTCTACCATCATCAAGATCTTGGTGAAAAAGTAATGCAACACTGGTAGGAAATAAATCTTGTGACATTGCAGAAGTGTACAGAAACAATGCTACAGCGAATGTGCGCCGTAATTAAAAGCTAAAAGCGGTCTAACAACATATGTTTGTGTGTGACTCTTTTAGGTGACAACTATTTTTTGGCATCCATCCATCCATTCTCACTAGGGTCATAGAGAACTGGGTCTAACTCCAACATAATCGAGCAGAAGTGGGTCATTCTGGACAAGTCTCCAGTCCATCTAAAGACCTCAGAGAGACAAAGAACCAGTTTCAAACCTAGAGACAATTACAAGTCTCTAATCAGCATGACATGAATATTTTTGATTTGTGGGAGGAAACCGGAGCACCTGGAGAAAACCCATGCATGAATGCAAGGCCGGATTAACCATATGGGCAACTGGGCAATTGCCCAGGGCCCACAAACTCTAAAGGGCCCAGGCCCAGGGCAGCAAGGGCACGAGCAAAATACTGTATCTGCAATCTCCCGCTTTATATTAAACTAGGGTGACCATACGTCCTCTTTTCCCCGGACATGTCCACTTTTCACTCTCTGTCCGGGCGTCGGGGGGTGGGGGGGTGTTCTTGTATTGATGAAAATGTCTGGTTTTTCATCCAGGAGCAGGGATCGAATTATGGGGGAGCAGGAAAAAACGTTTTCTACCTATATTACATCATTTTTGGACTCTTTTCAGCAGAGAGCACATATAGCGATGATCGTTGTTGCAGCGCTCCAGGCTGCTGCGTCCAGCGCACGGTCCATTCTCAAAGTGGCGCAACCAAAAAACTATAATTAACACACGATCGTTCATGTCCGCACATGTTCTCTACTTTCTGTCTTATCTGTGCCTGAAGCGCTCTGCCACTGCGGAGCTCATCACCTGTGCTGCGGTGATTTCACCTCACTGACGCAGCATCGAAACGCGTTCTCCGCTTTGCGGTCAGGAGATCTTTGATCTTCTCAAAAGTAACTGATGAGGTGAAAAAGTAAGAATCCAGGCAGCAGTTTTTCTGGAGAGTTTAGAGGAGATGCAGGAAGATGAGAGACAGACAGGACAGGAAAATAGTTAAATAAAAACAAGAAAACAAAGTAAAATGTCGGTAGATTTATCTCCACTACGCGTTTTTACCTGTATAAAGCAATAAGTTACACACATGTCATATTTATACATCAGACAACGTTCAGATCACCTTCAAAACTCAATCACACAGCCAGGGCCGTTTCAAGACATTTTGGGGGCCAAGGCAAAATGCCCCTGATGCTGTAGTAAAACAAAAGGTATAATAATTTATTATTAATAAAACCTTGTTGCAGCACTAAAGCAGAAAAATGAGATTTTGCAATAAATATGCAAAATATTTACATATGAATTGTTTTAGAGCCCTTTTATTGGAAGAATCTGATATTAATTTAGTTCCTACAAAAAAAAATGGGTCCCAACATGGTTTGTGTGGCGTTGCCATAGTGTGACGTCATAGGCACAGATCCCCTGTCCTCTTTTTTGGAAATGGAAATATGGTCACCCTATATTAAACAAACTGCCCACCCGGGCTTTTGCGCTGCACAGAGACGCTTCGCTGCCTACGACTTTGAACGTCAGTTGAGAGTCAGTCTCATGCAGACTGACCAATGAAGAGAGGGCCTCAAGTTAAGTCCCTCTCCTCATTGGTCAGTCCACACGAGGTGGGTCAAAGGTTGCCCTGAGCGGGTTATGTGATGTCAGGCATTCAAGTATTGAGTATATTTATTGCATATTACAGTAAAATATTCTGTATGTGACCATATTATGGTGATCCTCGGGTCGTGATGATGGGGCCCTTGAATATTGTTGCCCAGGGTACAACAAAGTGTTAATCTGGCCCTGCATGAATGGAGAGAACATGCCAACCCTGCAGGATTCAAACCTAAAGCATAGCTATGAGGCAGCAGTACAACCAGATACACCACCATGCAGTTTTAAGACAACAAAACTCAACTTGTTGATGTCAACATGTGTGTAAAACTTGGTCTAGGGCTTCACCAGAAAGAAGAACCGTGTCGTATTATCAGCCATACCATATGCATGATACGTGATATAAAAGGGAAATGCTTCATATATAAATGCAGAAATATGACGAAATCTCTTATTTAGGGTAGTGTGCAATCCCTGCTTTCAAACTAAAAATGCCCAAATGTGACATGGACTACAAACACAGTCCCTCAGAGGAGAATGTGGTCTGGCAATGGAGATTTTAATGTTGAATGTCCTGCATTACTCAATAAAATGCCTAAACCTCAATCTAATACAAGCCAATGATCCAAAAATAACACTGGAGATCTAAAACCAAGCCAACAATAGAGTGCCAGAAACTGCACTTGACATTTCAGTCTGGAGCAAGATTTACTTCCTAGAAATCTCAAGACGAATTCAAAGAATTCAAAATGTTTTCAACCTGGTACAAAAGCTTTAGCCCCAGTAAAATGTGTTCTTGCTGATCAGGGCTGCTCTGAGTCTGAATCTCTGTTTAGTCCATCACTAGAGCATAAAAGCTACAGCCAAATGTCAAAATTAAGACTTTAAATGATGACTACAATCATCCTTCACATACAATCTGTGATTAGAAGCTCAAGTTTGAACTTCCAGTCAGCTTGTGCAAATCAAAACCAGTTTTTGGCCAAAAAAACTAACGACTTAACAGTTAATTTAAGGAATTGTACACAGAGTTGTTTATCTTGGAAGTACTTCAAAGCAAATCTTGGCTCACTTCTGTACACTTTCAAGCAAAATCTACATTTCGCAATACCCCATAGCATACCAAGAAATCTGATTTTCAGCTCCAAGCTAAGTTTAGCTTCTTCTGGGCTTTGGAAAATATAAAAGAAAGCAAACACCAGGCCAGTGTCAACCTTTACAAACACAAAACGACTGACCTTCAAGCTAAATGCTGCCGACTAGAATCAGTTTGATCATTGTGTTCCAAATCAAGAAATCAAGACATAACATCCTATTTTGAGCCTCCTTGCAAACCAGTCGAC